TAAACAGAACGAGCATACCTTTCCTGAACAAGCTGTTTTCCACGAATCACGTACAGGAATTGAGTCGCGACACAGAATTAGATCTCTGACGTCGTAAACATGCACTTTCCACTGGCGAAAACAATGTAAAAATTTTTCCTCAACTTCACACGGATTCAGCGCAAGCAAGCTGAACTTATACAGCACACCGATTAGAAGTTGTCAAAATGATGTGATGATATCAAGGAACTGCACTAGGTGACAACATTTTGTACGGTCTTTGAAGTTGCCAAATTATAATTGCAAAATATATATGAAATTACAGAGACCAAATCACGAAGTGGAATTACGCATCGCTGTACATCAAACCATGGACTCTTCGTTTATATGTGATCGGGATACCGCACTCCCGAAGTGATGGACGCTATCAATTTGCCGGAAAGATAGGAATAAATACAGTCAGTGAATCGTTTTTTGACCTATAATTATATGTACATAAACATTCAAAACACGTCGCATTAATCTATAGAGATATCGTTACTACGAGTTACTATCACAAAAAAAGCGATGATGCCTTAAATTCAGCCTATAGTACGATGCGGATGGCACACAACTCGATGAAGTGAAATCACATAAAAATGCGGATGGCACACAACTCGATGAAGTGAAATCACATAAAAATGGCGCCGTGCATGCAAATGCAAACTTGCCTGTCAATCCTTAAAGTTTCCTTGACGTATTAGACAACGGGGTAACAGCGCAACGATTTACTTATATATATGGTCGCAATACGAATAATGCAAGCGAAAAACTACGACAACACAGATTGTATCAGAACGGCGCACTGCAATATACGGACATCAACCAAAGTAGTTCGAAAGTCGGGGATGAGTTTGAAAGTCCTTCGTCTGAACGTTTTACCGTACATGCAGGTGAAATGCCTAGTTGTGGGCATAGTGATGAAGGATATAGAAAGGTAGCCATATAGAAAAGAAGAAGCTACGGAATTCAGATTTCTCTGCCGCTCAACCGCGGTGTATACGATCATGACTTTATTTTTCGAAGGAATATAATTATCATAAAGTACTGCTTATCGGCCGTAAATCAGCTCGAAAAATTAAGGATTTATTCAAGTCAAAACATTGCATATCATTACATATCATATCAGAGTTGTTATTCGCGTAGTCAGAATATTAGTGACGAAATGCATGGCAGGTGATGTTTTTAGGTTTGCATGAGACAATACAGCAGGCGCAAATAGAATAACAACCTTCGCTCCTGGGCACGAGGTTGCCCTCGCTCGTTGTGAATATACCGAGTTTAATATGCCTGGACAGTGCTTGCTCAGTGGAACGTTTCCTATAGTCACGGGAGCAATATTTTAAAAAGAGTTTGAAACAATTTGGCACGAATTTTTTCCGAATCCATGCAGGAGCCAGCGTGAAGAAGAATTCATTCATATTTTTCGCTCGACTGCTTGAGACTGAGCAAAAATATGAATTGCATGAATTTTTAAAAAATAAACATTTGAACTATATATTTTGAACAAAGCGTATATAGCATGCAATAAGTATAATGGTATAGTTTAGACTGCAATTGCGAGTAAACATGCGTGTGATTATATTTTATGGATTACAAATAGTACCCAAAGAACCATCGCTGTTTATAATCTTTAATATACTCACGAAATTACACAGGCCTAACTAGACTATTACTTGTTCATGATATTCATGGAAAAATGTTGTGTTGTTGAGTAAAGTTAGTTATGAAATTACAAATGTAATCCCATGCACGCTCCTCTTATATATAATTATCAGTAGCCAATGAGCATTGAGATTAATGTTTTACATCGAATGCTTTAGCGCCGTCATTCGCATGAAGTTTAGAACTAATCTGGCTCTGTAGTTTATGATAATCCCACGTGTCATTATCGTCAGTATTAAAACCAACCAATTGGCGAACACGCGATTAAGGGCTGCGACGGGAAACTTCCCCTATATTGAATTTCCTGTACTGAGTCAGTGTATATGCTTCGAACCGACCGAAAGCTTTGCAGATAACACCACACGTGTCGCTCCTTTAATACACAATAAAAAATTGGGAGAAAATATTTTCATTTCTCGTGTTAAAAAATATTAGAAAACACTCGAAGAAAATTAAAATTTTTTCTATATATAGTTATCAATTTCACTTATATACTGTATGTTAAATTTAATATAATTATTCTAATTATTGTACGTTTCTTTTTATTTGAGAGAGACGCCAGTGAATAGATGTATCTATGCCTATAGAATCCGGTTGAGGAACTTTTCTTGGACATCATTCCTTTCCTTCTATTGTATTAACTTTTATACAATCAAAATTTTTTACTTCTCTCACACAACTTATTACATGCATCTCTCAATATTATATCTAATTATGGTTGGACTGCATGTCCTATGCCCATCTACAAACGAAATACTCTCTGACAAGCACCAACTCGATGTGTCCTTATTTCATGGGAACACTATTGTAATGAGCAATGAGTTAAGTCCAATCGAACCGGTTACGTGCAGCAGATTATTATGCAGGAGAGAATTCCAGCCAACCCTATAGACTATATGAATGTCATGACCGTTTTTTGTGAGGAACTATATGTTGCAATTCCATTGTGGCATTGCTGCCTAACGCATGCACCGCAAAATGAATGCCAGAATTCCATTAGTTAACGTTAGTTTCCACTGAATCCATTAACGCGGTCGCTTCTAAAATTACGGGCAATAATTATTATGAACCATCCATCATCAATACGGATCTTTTTACATCATAGCAATGAATAATATATGCAATTTTTGGCTTGAATAATTGGAACTCGAAACTGGAGTAAAACACCCACACACGCCTGCATGTATTTAACTCTCTCACACTCATTCACATTGTGTCTAGCATTCTCTCCCAATGCCTTCACAATCAATAAGTTTTAATAGATATATGTTTGCAAACAAGCCTAAAATATTATGTCGATGTGATAATGAGGCAAACCCTTTTTTACCTTTGAAAAATGGGAGTTTGCGGTTGTAACACTGAATAACGATTTGATTAGCATTCTGTGGCACAGGCATGTATGCATTCATACCATAGATTTTCAGTTATATATATAGTGAAAGGAAAAAATAGATTTATATATTTTATCAAAGATACTAAAAGATATCAAAGATGCATGGGTCTGTAGTGAAATGTCAAATTTTGCTTCGTCTACAGCAGATCACATACGCGAATGTTTTCGCGACAAGCTACCATCCTTGCATACTGCATGATGGAAGGATGTTATGACTGGTATTCTGTGGGATTTTTTTCTTAAAATGTTTAAATAAAGAAGTGCAGGATTCTGTAACAGTTTTGAAAAGTGTAATAGACATGCACTATAGACAGCTCTTTTACAGTTTTGGTTTTATTTGTTGTTTTGTACGGATTTTCTTCTCCTCTGGTGTTGTGGACCGAATCATGCAAATCCTTACCGCCGGACGATCCTTACTTACGAGCTTAAGAAGAAATTTCAAACGTACCTAGACTACAACGCAGCTTTATATTGTCTGCTGCTTCCCAAGGCAAGCGATATTTCAACGCCGGAAAATTAACTAAATTATTATCGTAATAATTACGAGACCCTTTTAGCATTATCCGACCCATCCATAAATACTGCATGTTTTGCTGATTTCATGAGATGCAATGATTTTGCCGAAATAAACAGAATGGCGGAAAGTTATTTGCATAAAAAAGCCCGGAAAGATAAACGAAAATACTTGTATAGTTGAAAAAAGTATAACATATTGGATAAAATATAGTTTTTTTGTGTTTTAAAAACTATCATGCTTGAATTGAGAAATCTCTTAAAAGATAGGTGATGTTTGATAAGGGACAACTGGGGGGTCGAGCAAAAGATTGGCAACTATGAAACATCCGGTCAAACTTTCGGCCAAGATTGCCGCGGACAAAGTTGTTTCTTTTAAATGCGCTAAATCACTTTAGTTGTCAGCGTTCTCCCGCATTTTTACTTGCTCGCTAATACTCTATCACGAGTCGTGAAACAACGCAGAAATTGTTGTTCATAATTCACTGGTTCATAATTTTGCATCTCATTGAATAAATGGAAAAAAGTTCAATTTTTCTTTTGAATACGCATTCTACAATCTTTTGACAGCTCATTATACACATCTGCACGACAGCTGTGAAATGGCCATAGATTATTGAGGTCTAAATATACAAAAGGTTATTAATTCAGACGATTCGTTTTCACCGTGTGCAAGCTTCAAATTTTCTGCATGTGCAAGTTATATTTTGTTGAAAACGAATTTCCGCGGTGTCCTTGTGGATAACAGTCGTCTTGATTTTAGAAGAAAATTCTAGGCGACCTCTGGAGTCCTGGCCGTGATGAACTGCTATAGGTTGCCATTCCATGTATTACATAACGGTGGCATTGCTAATTGACGCATGCGCAACAGTATGACAATGAATGACAGAATGTTCGAAATTCATGAATAATGGCATTTGGAGTTCATTTTTTACTTTCCAATCCTTTATGGCCGTTTTCTCAAGTGAACCGCCTGTGTAGGGATTTTGTCCCATTATGGCAATTAAAAATATACGCAGTCCTTATTTTGGTTTTAATTATTTCTCTATACTAAACAAAAACACTACGACATGGGGTATATTTGTTTCACACTTGCCTCTCAAACAAAATTTTTACATAATTGCAGGCAAATAACATACAGAAAAATTATTTTAAAGAATGCCGATTGGCAATTTAAGTTTTCGCATCTAATTACTCGTCGGCAGGTTGTCCATTTAACAGGGCGCGGATTATTATAAATATTTAATAGCTTGTTTATAATTTTGTTCCGTATTCATTTTACCGTTTGCAAGCCGTTCATTTAGCGTCACGACATTTATTAATCACAAGCCTATGGGAGACAGCTGAATGTGCTGAAAGTTTGTTCAACCGTTGTGGAAACGCAAAAGTAATGTATCAGATCTATCGAAAAACCGAATTGATATTCTCACTGTTGGTTACGCTACCTGTGGCTTTTTTGAGCTGGTCGAGTGGGTCCCAGCAGATTGAGCAGAATCCAATTTGTCGACAAGGATTTTTCAAGAAAAACACCGGTAAGAGCTTGTTTACACGCGACTGGAAGAAATAGGGAACCGTTTTGAGGGCCCCCTTTATATTTATGGTTTACGTGTGAAGTTAGGCGCGGAACAAATGAGCAAATGAGCAAAAGATAATTCTCCAAGAGTAAAAATTAAAGAAACAGTCATTTTATGTGCATACACGTTTTTTGAACCTATTCTTTTCAACCGGTAAAACAAAAGTTCATGGCTTAGTTTTTAAAAAATGCCATTTTATCAATGAGAATAATGTATGATAAAACACAAACTTAATTGTCTTGCGCCATCATCTGTTTGAATGTATTAGCCAACATATAATCAATGCAATTTTATTATGAAAAACTATATGATTCAACACAAATTATGTATTCATTTTCTGTCCATGGTTAAGTAAGGACAATGCAGCATTAAGCTAACAATATGAATTCAGTCTTGTTTGCGTCAAACATGAGAGGAAAATTATCAAGCGGACAGACAGAAATATTAATGTTTTTACCTATATCATGTCAATACAATATCATGCATATATGGCGATAAAATATAAGCGCAGACGTACGCTTATCAGTCAGTTTCTATTTTATTTGAACAATTTTAATTTACATCCAAGAAGAACGAGTGCATATGATATGGCTAGGTACACGACATAACTTTGACCATGCATCCGTACGCGGCTGTATACTGTGTATAAGCAGCACCTCAAAGGCCTGCTCATGTGGAACTATATATATAGAGCAGTCTCCATGGCAGCTGGTGCAATACATTCTTTTCGGCGCTTCTACCAGGTCTTTGTCTAAATAGTCTACTGAATAGATCGAGGGCTTTAGACTTGACTACAGCTCCTGCTGCGGCCACGAACATACACACTACCTCGCGTGCCAGCATAATAAACCTTCGCGAATATAATAACGAACGCATGTTCGAGAATACACATAATCAGAGCCACGGTTGTCAGCTGCCCCACTGAAAAAAACGAATCTAGTTTTGTTTGGCAAAAATTCACCACTTGCACCGTGGGCGCCACGTGTACTTGACACGTGATCAAAAATGTAAACAATCGCAAAAGTTCGGACTACGGGTCACGCAAACTCTCACGCGATAGTATAGAAAACATTAGTACATTGCACGCAAAAGTTCGGACTATGGTCGCAACTAAAAGATGCGCTTGGGGAACATGTAAAAATGATTCAAGATACCCGATAAAATCAGTGATAAGTCGGCCAATTTGTACCCATGGGTCGATAACTTTTTCTGAAATAATTTGTTTGCCCCCCGGCCTCGAACCTCACTTTCAATCTAAGAACTATTTCAACTGCGTGTGTTTGTCTGTTATCTAGCAACTGAAGTAAACGTGAATATCACCAAGCAAGTTTCCGTCGGTTCTGTTTTGGAATGCGCGCAGCTGTGTCTCGCTCAACAAAAATCTTGCGAAGTCTTCAAGCATAGGAATGATCATAATCATGACGATGCCATCAACTGTCAAGTAACACAAGGCAAACCGGAGTATTTTTCGATATCTGAGAAGAATAGCGCTAATGAAAAGTGGAAGTTGTACACGTTGCAGATTGTTGAATCGGTGCGAAATTATCAAATTAATAATGAATAGGTATATTCGTCATAGCTAAGTGGTCGTATATATTAATTTAAAACTTATATCAGGTTGTGAGCGAATCCTCTTTTTGAAGGTTTTGAATGCGATGAAAATCTTTCAAATGAGAAATATTGTAGTATTTTTGAGAATTTTAAGGTTTCTTGTAGTAATTCTGTAGCGACAGAGGAATTATGTTCTTAAAAGAGACGACTGAAAAATAAAACAGCTGCATGCATGTCTTAAAAAAGCGTTATATCGCGTATAGGCTAGCTATTTCCAATAACTGTTTGAACAATAAAAATATATCCTTATACACGATCCCGGTAAGAACATCTTAGAATTACTTTCAATTTTTACACTGCATGCAATGAAGAGGTCAGTTCAGCCTCAGGGCAATTTGGAACGATTTTGTGCTATGATATATATTAAGTACATAGATATGAATAAATTAAGCGCGTATCCTTATGCAGTAAATTTCTCCACATTTTAGCCAAAATGTATCAAGGACAATCTATGCCATGGCCATGGGCTATGCTTGGCAAACAGTTGTGAGCCTGAAGGATTCAAGTGCGACTGTGATGAGAAATACTATGGAAAATATTGCCAGCATGAAAAATACCGTGAGTATATTTTCAGATCATTTATGAACATGCACCCTCTGCTCCTCGATCATGGAATTCGTGGAACATGAACCAACTGGATTATTTTGTCTTATAGATAACTACGACATAGACTTTCCTAACTCTACTGAGAGCAATTTCCTTTTCCTGGGGACAGTAAACGAGGATTTCGACGAGTTCACATTTAGTGCATGGATTAAATTTAATCCAGGATTTACGGTATACCCTTTGATGTCGTACAGTTCCAAAACCTCGACCGAAACGATCACACTCGCGTTCTACGCAGACGATCCAAGCGGAGCGTCAATCAAATCATTTTCTGGAAATCTGTTTGGTCATTATAAAGGGTAAGAACGTTTACGAAATAGCTACATGGGCTTGGAGTAACCAAATTTGGGCAATGCCATAGCTGCAAGGGGCTGTAATAAAGGCCTGGAAATTCTCATGAGTCAGCGAAAGTCGGTGATGTATACATGGTTTTGGGCAGGCGACGAAGAAAATTGTTTCAAAATAACAAAGCACTTTTATATTCCCGAACATCACTGGTACAACTATATTTCAATAAAATGGGTACCAAACATATTCGACAGCTTAACAACAAAACTGATTTGTTGAGACAGATTCTTTACTTTTGCTCGGATAACTATTTGAACCCTCTATTTTTAAAACTATTTTGACTGTAATATTATTCCGCTTTATTCGTGTGACTTTATTTCTCAGAACTGCCACCATACCCATAAATGACGGTTATTGGCATCACGTGGGATTCACCTGGTCGGGTGTTACAGGACAATGGATGCTGCTGATCGATGGTGTTCTTTGGGCGCACAGAAATACTTTGAAAGGAAGAAAAATCCAATCTGGTGGGATTCTGAACATTGGAAAAATTACACACAAAGAAGTAAACTGCACTTTGGTTGGAAGTATAAGCCGGGTAAATTTATGGAGTCAGGCAAAAAACGGTAGTGAGATCGAGTTGATTGCTAAAAGTCCTGGGTCTAGAGAAGGTGATTTGATCGCTTGGTTTACAGCTAAAGACAATATAGTATCACGTCAAAGAATCATCCGTCCATCAAATGCATCTTTCTCAGGTACGACAATACGGCTTATCACGAATTATTTGTCAGAAAATTGTATGTACCTCAATATGATCAGACATTTTTTATTATACTAATTAACTGATGGAACAGTCTAAGACTTGCGGTGCCTCGTCGATGCGATAGTCAGAGTACAACAGGGTATTGCAGGGCATATACATCTTTCATGCACAGCCAATCAGCCAGAACAGATACCATAACACCATCCACACATTTTTGTAGGTGATGGGTTAAATTACGAAATGACACTACCACTGTCAAACGAAGTAAACTATCCGGGACCGTCCAAACCCATGAAATTTCTATCAACCTGTTTGTGGGTTAAAAATGGTGGAAATGCGCAGTTTTTTGCCTACAGTGCGAGTAATACATTCAGTCTTCGCTATACTTCGCTGAAGGAATTGGCCTTCACTCTTAATAGCTTATCTGAAGGAACGTGAGTATGATTTGAAGTTTGAACGGTGTTGCCCGAATTCGACCACAACTAGTTATTTTTTAAATTACATTGTATAGGAGAAAAAGTAAAAGCGAATAATTCAAGTTCAGTTTTTAGGTATATAGCAAAAGGGTCCAGTTTTGTAATGATAGGAACAGTATAGGTGTATGGTCGAGGGCACCACGCGGATGGTTGAGGGTACCTTATGTTTTATTTTCTTAGAGCTGTGACCTGTGACGGTTGGCATTTTCTGTGCATGAAATGGAATGGTGAGAAAGGTAAGGCGAGTTTATACTATGACGGGTACCAAAGTGGTAATAGTTTCGAGGACGCAAAACTCGTGACAGAACTACCTGCGGGAAGGAATTTTATCTTCGGTTCCAGTGGCGATAGTGCAACTCTTACACAACTCAATATCTGGTGGATTGACAGTTTATATACACGTGCGTAGACACGAATGGAACTCATTATAATTGAACTTTGAAACTATGATGACAATATTAGGTATCAAATAGCAATCATAGCATTAGCATATAGACGCACAGCGAGACGGAAAAGGTGTAAATATAACGCATGTTTTGTTAAATAAGTAAATGAAAGAAAGACGGGCTAACCTGAACGATAAACGATGAAATAGACAGCTAAAGGATCTCGCCACAGAAGTAAGACATTGACTTTATATTCTAGTTTGTTTACGCAGAATTTATGCATTGTATGGGTAATTTATACGCCACACGTGCGAACATTTATAGGCTTATATGCATGTTTACTTTAATATTTCTTTGTATTAATTTGCTCTATTTAGATCGAATTGTTATTATATAATTTATAATGCGATTTGCGAGACTTCTTTGGTTTAATGTCTGAGATTACTTGCTAACCGGTCGTCTTGGTTCCGACGAAACACTATTCGATTTCTTGCTAACCACGGTTCGAAGGAATTTGAGACGAATTATACTGTAAAACGACAATGGAAAATATGACATCGAAAGACGGCAATTGCGACGATTTTAAGAAAGCTAAGATGAAACGACGAAACGGCAAAGCAGCATTAACACGGCTCGGGAAAGTTATAATAGTCCAAATCGAGGGGAAACGTTCGACCGATGAGGTTCAAAGGGCGCTTGATAATTATGAACACGCATTTGCCGACCTGGAAGCCAAACACGAAGAAGTGACAATGCTAATCGAAGATGACGAACAGTTCAATGAGGAAGAACGATATATTGAACAATGCCAGGAAACCTTTCTGCGCTTAAAAATTGACGCGCAAGATTATATAAAGCAACAGACGAAAATATCAGAGATGAAACAAAATACTGTCGAAACCGGAAGCGTAAATACTCCCGCAGAGAACTTGTCGAATGAAGAACAAATTAACGAAATCCCGGCCGGCGAAGAAAGTCATGCATCGATACCGAATGAAGAAAATCAAGACAACCAGATATCAGCACCAGTAGCTCAAGAAACCCAAAGTCATCCTGTACAACCCAGCACATCTATTAATGATTCATCGTTCAACACAACTGAGAACACCGCGGAGACAGCAACTCATATAAGCAAAGGAGAAAGCCTATTTCGAATTGAGAAGCCAAAGATGCCAAAATTCACTGGTGACGTCAGAGAATTTGGAACTTTTAGAGCGGACTTTAAGCACTTGGTGGAAAATAGATACAGTAAACGTGATGCAATAACCATTCTGAGGTCTAGTCTCCAAGGAAAACCGCTGGAAATGATCAAGGGAATTGGTCAAGACTATGATGCCGCATGGGAATATCTCGATTCCGTGTATGGAGATCCACGATTTGTTGCTGACATCATCACTCACGATATCTCCAAGTTTAAGCCAATAAAGGACGGAGAAGATGCCCGGTTTTGCGACTTGGTCCATTTAATAAAGCGGAGTTTCAACACCCTTAGAGAAGTAGGACGGGAGAATGACATGGATAACAACCACATGCTGGCTATCATTGAACAGAAAATGTTTACCGACGATCGCAAAGTCTGGTCACGCTATTTGGAGAGTTCAAAGAGTCAAGCCACATTGGAGTCGTTAATTTCCTGGATGACAAGTGAGATGAAGTCGAGAATGAGAGCAACGGCACCATTAAGAAGCTCATGGCAGTCACCCAAGCATGTTGGACATGTTACTGGAAAAGAAGATGGGAAGCCAACAAACCATAAGTGCTGGTTCTGCAAAACGTCTGAACATTGGACCGACCAATGCCAAAAGTTCCTTGCCCAGAGTGCTAGCGACCGCCTGAAAGTTGTGAAGGAGAACCATGCCTGTTATAGCTGCCTGAAGCGAGCTGGTCGTGGTCACAACATGTCAACCTGCTCTCGAAGGCGCCAGTGCAGCGAGACCATCAGCGGAGTTCAGTGCAAGCATTACCATCATCCACTATTGCATATTTTAAACATATCTGCTGTGTCATCTGTTACTACTAGCGGAGAGACTATGTTACCGACTATTCAGGCAGAAATCCTGGGACCACAGAAGGTCAAGAAACAGGCTAATATGTTACTAGACACTGGTGCTCAAATCAGTTTAATACGGACATCAGTCGCTGAGGAGCTGGGTCTCAAAGGCAAGAGTGTCACAGTAACAATGGCGAAAGTTGGAGGAGAAGAAAATGAGATGTCAACAAAGATGTATCGATTCCAAATTCGATCCCTCGAGAACCAGTCCATCCACACAATTGCAGCTGTGGGAATCCCAAGTATCAGTGGTGATATTTCCGGAATGAAACTTGATGGCATAGCTGAAGCTTTCAACCTTGAAAGAGAGAAATTACGAAGAGAGAATGGTCCAATAGATGTCCTGTTGGGAATTGATCAACCGAAGTTGCACACTGGTGAGACAAAAGAAGCTGGTAATCTTGTTGCAAGATATTCGCCATTGGGATGGGTTGTCTTTGGAGCCACGTCTGAAAAGTGTGACGTCAGTCAAGTCTACCATGTCAAGTGTTCAAATCCCATCGATATGACCGACTTTTGGACCACCGAATCAATGGGCGTGGAAGGGAATATGTGTTCTTGTGAAAGCAAGAAGTTAAGTCCAGTTGAAGCCTACGAAGCCAAGATTATAGAACAATCCTGCAAAAAGATTGGTAATAAATGGTTAGTTTCATACCCCTGGGTCAAAGATGCATCTGAATTACCGGATAACAGAAGCCAAGCGGAGAAGAAATTGGAAACAACCGAGCGTCGATTAGCCAAGAACCCAGATCATGCAGAAGCGTATGACAAGCAGATGAGGGAAATGAGTGAAATGAACTTCTCTCGAAAATTATCAAGTGAAGAATTAAAGTCATACAAGGGACCAACCCACTACATATCCCACCATGAGGTAGTCAGACCCGAGAAGAAGAGCACCCCCATCCGAATTGTTTTCAATTCCTCAGCATCGTATAAAGGGCACCGCTTAAATGATTACTGGATGAAAGGACCCGATTTACTAAATAATCTGTTTGGAGTTCTCCTACGATTTCGAGAAAATGAAGTGGCTATCAACGCGGATATATCCAAGATGTATCACAGAATCCTAATCCCGGAAAGAGATCAACATGTTCACCGATACCTGTGGAGAAACATGGATACGGATCGAGAACCTGATGTTTATGTCAAAACAGTCTTGACATTTGGTGACAAACCAGCCCCAGCCATGGCACAGACCGCGCTGCAAAAGACTGCTGAAGAAGGAGAAAAACGCTACCCTGCAGCTGCTGAAGTCTTAAAGAAGAATACTTACATGGACGACATATGCGATTCGGTCCATTCTGAAAATCAAGCAAGAAAAATAACAGCAGAGATTGACGAAATCCTTCGCAACGGTGGTTTTAACGTGAAGTGTTGGCTCTCAAACCGGTCATTAAAGAAGAATGATGAAAGCGTTATTGAAAAAAGTGAATTGGAATTAAAGCTCCTACAAGGCCCAGTTGAAGAGAAAGTTTTGGGAACTGTCTGGAACCACCACGACGACGTTTTTGGGTTCAAAGTGATTCCTCCTGAACTAGTTAAACTTACGAAGAGAGCAATACTAAGCCAAGTAGCTCGGATCTACGATCCTCTAGGAGTAGCTGCAGCTTTCCTGATTCGCGCCAAAATAGAGATGCAAAAACTGTGGTTAGAAGGACTACAATGGGATGATGAATTGCCGCCGAATCTCCAAATAACGTGGATACGATTCTTCCAAGAGATGAACGACCTGAACAACGTCACCTTCGAAAGGTCTCTTACGCCAGATTCCGTGATCGGAGCGCCAGTACTATGCATTTTCTCGGACGCATCGATTGAAGCCTTCGGAGCATGTGCTTACATCAGATGGGAGACAGAAAACAACACCTTTGTAACCAGGTTCATCGCAGCAAAGTCAAGAGTAGCCCCACTGAAGTCGCTGACCATACCTCGTTTAGAGCTACAAGCAGCTGTCCTGGCGACACGATTATGTTGTTCTATTCTCGAAGAGTCTCGAATGAAGTTTGTGAAGATAATTTTCTTCTCTGACAGCCACATTGTTCTTTCATGGATCCGTAACCAACCCAGAGAGTTTAAGCCGTTCGTTTCAGCCCGAATTGCCGAAATCCAGAGCAAGTCTGAACCAGATCAGTGGAGACACGTTCCTGGAGAGCTAAATGTCGCTGATGATGTGTCGCGAGGAATACCTGCTCTGCAACTGACAGGCAGATGGAAGTATGGCCCCGAGTTTCTGAAGTTACCGGAGGAAGAATGGCCGAGCGAGTCGTCTTCTGCTACCATCACTAAAAGCGTGGATATCGATCAGTCTGAACGTCGAAAAGTTCAACCTGTCTTTCAAGTAACCCAATCGCCAGAAGTCATTCCGTGCAAGAAGTTTTCCAGTTGGGGGAAACTTATCCGAGTCACAGCCTATGTGTTACGGTTCATCAACACGCTACGAAACAAGCATCAAAACAAAGACAACACAGAAACGACCCGACCGAAACCTCAGATGATCATCCAGCAAAGGAGTTAGAAGATGCCGAAGTTGTATTGGTCAAACAAAGTCAGAAGTCACTTCATGATCGCCTGAAAAAGGGAGAACTGAAAGGACTCACCCCGTTTACCGATGACAACGGAGTTATCAGAGTCGGAGGTCGAGTAAGCGAAGCCGTAATCTCGTACGATGCCAAACATCCAGTTTTACTCCCACGTGAACACTGGATATCCCTGCTGATCACTCGTAACTTCCATCGAAACGGCCACTCAGGAGTTGCAACAACCGTTGCAAAGATCAAGAAAAAGTTTTGGATTATCCGATGTCATGATCTTGCCAAGTCAATAAAGTTCCGATGCGTATGTTGTCGCCGAATCCAAGCCAAAACCGAGGAGCAGTTCATGTCAGACCTACCAATTACCCGACTGGAGCCATTCACACCACCCTTTCATCGCACGGCATGCGATTACTTCGGTCCTTACCAAGTTAAAATTGGCCGAAACAAAACAACCAAACACTATGGCGTACTGTTTACATGTCTGAATACTCGTGCCGTACACCTGGAAATCGCAGTGGACTATTCCGCTATGGAATTCTTGCAAACCTTACGTCGATTTTTCGCAATCCGTGGACAACCGGCTCTGATGATCAGTGACAACGGGACGCAGCTGGTGGGAGCTCAACGTGAACTCCGAGAAATGATAGAAGGATGGAACGAGAAAGAGTTGAAGGAATTCAGCGCCGAGAAAGGAATGGAGTGGAGATTTATTACTCCTGCAGCACCACATCATAACGGTTGTGCTGAGGCTCTTGTCAAGAGTTCGAAGAAAGCATTAAAGATCGCGATTGGTGAACAAATTTTGGCTCCGTTCGAGCTGTACACATGCTTGCTGGAAGTTAGTAACCTGATTAATCAGCGTCCTATTGGAAGGATCCCCAATGATCCAGATGACGGTTCTTTCCTTTGTCCAAACGACATTTTACTTGGTCGAGCATCAACAATGGTACCACAAGGGCCATTCAGAGAAACGAAGAATCCTCAACATCGTGTTGAATTTGTCCAGAAGATCATCGATAGTTTTTGGAAGCGTTGGAGCAGAGATGTATTTCCCACCTTAGTTCCCAGAAAGAAATGGACTACTGAAAAAAGAAATGTACGAGTGGATGACATCGTCGTGGTTCAAGATACGAATGCGATTCGTGGAAACTGGACTACGGGCAGAATTGTTAATGTATATCCTGGAAATGACGGACGAATTCGTAACGTTAAGGTGAAGACATCCACATCGCACTACGAAAGACCTATTACAAAAGTCGCAGTACTGTACCCTGCAGAAGGATATGAAGATAAGTAACTCACAATTAGTAACATTAAGTGATGAGGAAGAGTCCTCATCGGGGGGGAGAGTGGATTGACAGTTTATATACACGTGCGTAGACACGAATGGAACTCATTATAATTGAACTTTGAAACTATGATGACAATATTAGGTATCAAATAGCAATCATAGCATTAGCATATAGACGCACAGCGAGACGGAAAAGGTGTAAATATAACGCATGTTTTGTTAAATAAGTAAATGAAAGAAAGACGGGCTAACCTGAACGATAAACGATGAAATAGACAGCTAAAGGATCTCGCCACAGAAGTAAGACATTGACTTTATATTCTAGTTTGTTTACGCAGAATTTATGCATTGTATGGGTAATTTATACGCCACACGTGCGAACATTTATAGGCTTATATGCATGTTTACTTTAATATTTCTTTGTATTAATTTGCTCTATTTAGATCGAATTGTTATTATATAATTTATAATGCGATTTGCGAGACTTCTTTGGTTTAATGTCTGAGATTACTTGCTAACCGGTCGTCTTGGTTCCGACGAAACATCTGGGACTATGAAATAGCGACCGAAAGTATTTATCCTATGTCTGCTGGAGGATTCAATGTACACGGGAATATGCTTTCGTGGGGCAGCATGACAAAATCTCTAACCGAGAACATGGCATGGAAAACTGGCGTATATTTACCCGGTAAGGAAGAGTATACATGCAGGCCCCAGTTGTATAAAAGACTAGTTAACTTTTAACTCTATAATTAAGGACAGAGTTGGCCAATCATAGTCGAGTTAACTAGGATTTAACTATACAAAATGTAGTTAAAGAGTTTTATACAATCGGCCCCAGAATAATATATACATCATTTAAATTGAACACAGTTCTATTTACATAATATAGTTTATCAAAAGAAGTTGCCGTTGCATTTTTGAGTCGTTTTTTTCTTTATTGTTTTTTATGACTCATCATGGGAAAGATGACCAGAAAGTAATGTTGTTTGAATGTTGTAATGTTGTTTGCAAAATTATGAGAAAATATTGTTCCAAGATTTTCCCCTCATTCGAGAGACATTTCTCCGAAAAAACATCTGGCTTTAATTGTCTCAGGAAACACATGCATGTCAGCGAACCACAGATGTTTATATAATAGATTTCTTTGTTTCGAAGATATTTCTCGAGAACGTGCGTTTATGGGCAGGTAATGATCAAGCTTTAAAAATTGATTGCATGGGATTGAATTACCCACACCGCTGAACAATTATATTTCCCACCCACAGGCTTTACTGTTTTGGGCAAGAGAACAACATGGTGTCATGATAATATAAGAACCAGCTGCCCCTACGATCTACTAGCAAGACTTGGAGGTCACCAGGGGCGCAAGAATATGCAGTGGCGTTGCTATTGTCCCACGGCACTGACTGAAACCAAATTTACATACAATTTTAGTTCCTCAACCACCTCCTATTTCAGTAGACACAGCGAGCTCACCGCTATAAATGACTGAGTTATGTATGGCTATAGTATATAATATAGGTATAAATAAATTATATAATATACGAGTCACTGCTGTATTAGGACAAAATCATAGAAGCAATGAATTTGGATCATAAGACCACAGGTAGCCCGCTATTGTGTTGCTTCACGTGAAGTATCCACATCCTTAATTGCTGATTCACCTGCTGGCATATCATCGCAGGAGCCGCAATTTTTTTTCCATGCACTTCACATCAGTGCACTTAAAGTGAAGTGCACTGAAAAAAATTGCCGCGCTTGCGATGATATGCCAGCAGGTGAATTAAGAATGCGGATACTTCGAAGCAACACAATAGCGCGGGCTACCTGTGATAAGACAAACAATTATTGTTGTCACTCAACAAAAAAAAGAACTCAAGTTCTTTATACGTCGAACATTGTATTATTAAGATAATATATATATATATATAATGCAAATTAAACTCCTTCTGCTGTAATGATCTCAGTACATGACGTAATTTTGCATGGCAGCTCACTCCGTAGACTAGAGCAGGACATATTTTCATTGGAGAAACTACATGCACATCTGACACCATCTAAGACTAATTTTCAAAGAACAAACCGAGACAAACAAATTACACCATTATCATTACTTTCATCGTTTTCAACTACACTCATGCATGCCTATAATGGTCCGTCCCGGCTACACTCATGCATGCCTATCAACGTTTGAACAACTTACAAACGTACCATTTTCAAAATGTTTTTAAACAACGCATTTTTAAGAAATATTTTAAAAAATGATAGTTCGAGATGTTATATAATTTATAAGAGAAAACATGCATTTCGTAACGTAATACAATAATCAATATTATCACGGACGCTTTCTCGCCGCGGGTATTTTGCAAAATATAAGCTTATATATTTAAGTTGGGACAACGAACGAAACGTTGCTAACGAAAATAAAACACAAAATTTCTAATGAGTTAAATTTCTAGCGATTCGAAAACGGTTTGACGTCATTCTTCAAGGACTCTATATTTGAAGTTGCATTCCTTTTTCCGGCGGACATTGTTAATTCCGTTCTGGAAAATAAATAGGACGTGCAAGTTTGAGGCCGTGTATGACAACTGAATCAAAATTCTGAAAACAAGTTTCTGCGAAATGTCAGCAAAATCAAAAGCCAAGAAAAGCAGCGGCGGCGGCAAAAGTCGCGGAATCAAAAGCAGAAAAATAACCAAGAAAAAAGTAACCAAGACTCCCAGTTTATCCCATTAGGTAAATAGAGCACCTTTTAACGATTTACCAGATATGGTTCATAGATATAGTTCTAGATTCGATACGAGGTTTACGAGGTTACTTTATTAATAAGAATACTCGCCCTCTAGGGGGCCTGGGCGGGTTGCATAATGGTAGTATGTATATATATATATAGGTGATATATTAATTGTTCCTTGGGCGATAAAACTCACGCCCCTCTTCATACCTTGGATACACTGATTCTGTACGTGCATGCCATAAATCAGACATATCAAAATGCAGGAAACATTGCAACCATGGATGTAAAATGATGAAAGTCACATTAGTTGGATTAGTTTTGTACCCTACTAATCCTAGGTCTAGGACAGTTAATTGACTTTATAAATACTTTGATTTGTAATTATATGAATTTTCTAAACCCTTCACTGTAGGAATCCTTGGTACAATTGGTGCGCTTGTATATGGTGCGTATGCTTACCGGAATAGAAGATCGATGAGCACAAGCGGTGGTTACCTTACGAGACTTCGAGTATTGGCACAGTCAATCATTGGTGGACCATGACAATCTGAATGGTTTTTGGAGAAATAATGGCTGGAGTTACACAGCTGTATAGCGAGAAAACTTAATTATTGATTTTAGAATAATCTATATAAAATACTTTTTCGAATTGTTACAAAGGTTATTATTGAAAATTCTGCCCTGTCAAAGTGACAGATGAAGAATTAAATCAGTATCTGAAACAACGAAAGAAGCAAAAATATGCTTAAAATATTTTGATGTAAAAACTGCGCAGTAGGACAGTGCTTATAACTTAATTCAGCATAATTTTTTTAATTACGTTTTTAATTACATACTAAAACAATTATTGACATAATATAACTCTAAGAAAGCTCATGCAAATCTCCGTTGTCATGCATCCCACTTTATATATCTCCTTCACTCTTCAACGGCTCGGGAATGATTTTCCCAGCCCATCCGGTGATCCTCCCTTTTACTGTATAACTTTTACTTTATAACTCTTGCGCACGGCTTTAAAAAACAACCCACGCATAATATCGTCACGTTCCTTATAGTTACTGTCGTGAATTTGTTCAAACTTGAAACTATTCTCTAGCGAAATCGTGACAAGAAACATGATCTTTATTCAGTGGGGGAGTAACTTTATGACGTCAATAATCAATGACGTTCTGACAAAGCCTTTTGCTCACGGAAATTACGTAATCCATTTCGCAAAATAAATACAACGTGCGAGATTTGAGAGCAGTGCATGAGACATAGAAGGTTTAAGTTTTGACTTTTGAAAACAATTTCACGCGAAATGTCAGCAAGAAGAACACCGACCGCGGAAGAGGTTGCCGAATTTGCATCACCAGCAGTTGAGGAGTCTGAAACAGATAAATTGCTAAGAAAGAGTCGAGATCAGCCGTTCGTTCCATTAGGTAAATAAAGGACTATTTGAGTATTTCACAATATTTTATCGTCCTATATAGTATTTTAACATCGTAATGACTTATAATTTACCTAATAACTCCTATATAGTCACAACTTCGTTACGAGGTCACCTTAATGGTGCTAGACGTAATGACTAATGTCAGTTTTATCCCCTCTGGAGTCGGTTGTATGAAAAGGTAGTTAATGTACTATAGTTTATGACAAAATTTTGGGGTTTGAATGCAAATAATGTAGCGAGTTTTTTACAATCAACCCAAGAGAAAATAAAAACTGTTCCTTTAGCCAATAATCACATCATCCCCCTCTTTATTAAGGTTTTGTATTTGCCATAATTAGAGTTTTCACTTTGGGTATTTCAGATAAATACCCCTAGATATTTTATCCCCAAGGAACATATTCCTCATTTTCGACTCAAAACTTCCCCTATTTTGAGTCACCTACAGAAAATTCTTGGGGTAGTGCAATACATGTAAAATGGTGAAGGTGGATTTAATAGTTTTTGCATCCCAGGATATAAATTTTTGCATCCCAGGGAGGAGGATTTTTTAAAATATGTAATGTGAAATTATATGAATTTTGTCAACCCTTTTTACTGTAGGAATCCTTGGTACAATTGGTGCACTTGCATATGGTGCATATGCTTACAAGAACCGAGGACCAATGAGCACAAGTCGTTACCTCATGAGACTCCGAGTAATAGCACAATCAATGGTTGTTGGAGCAATAATGGTTGGAGTTGGTTACACGGCTATAAAAGAGAAGCGGGAAAAGAATAAATAAATAATAAATTAATAAGTAAAAATCAGTTGTTGGGACTGTATAATATATCATTTTCATGTTTTAAATTGTAAATAGGATATATGAGATTATGTCTAAATTATCCTCATTAGGTAATATTGTATATTTATTCAAACAAAAAAAGTCATTCGAACAATTTTGGTTAGAAAATTGTAAAATTCCTAAAGCAAAGCCAGAATTGTTTGTATCTTAACATTGATAGTATGAATACCATTCTACCTAGACTGAATAGTCTGTGGTAACCTAATGGCCAGGCATTATGAATAGATGCAATTGTAGTTGTTAGAAAATGCTTTAGAGTAGTTGTCCTTTGATTTTCTTACATGATCATATAGTTAGAAAATCAATTGCATTATATGTGGTTAACCTTAATAATACATCAGAAATCATCACTTTTATTACAGTTCACCTATCTATTAATATTTGGTTTCTTGTCCTATCAATTACTTATATTTGTTGGGAATACAGCTTTATACTATTTGGCTGTATGTAAAATATAGTAGCAATACGTACATACAGAAACTCCTATCCCTATTCTGCAGGTGAAATATAAATTATACCTTGAGGCTTGAGTATAAAACTTCTATTGAAAGTATAAATATAATCTTGCCTTACTTAAATACCTGATTAGTTGCCAGTTTTCTTTTCGTAAACCGCGCGCTTCTGTATTGGAGAAGCATACTTTCAAAATTACTGAAAATTAGATGACGTGTGGAACAACTCCATTCAAGAAGCTCATCCTCTACAGACCCCAGATTAGACATCAACATATTTTAAATGCGCAGTCTGACTCAATGATCTGGGATTCTGACTGACTTAAGACCAAATGACGTAAGACTAAAGTTGATGACCGCGCAATGAGTTACTGGGACTAGGGAGCAAACCGGCTGCAACAAGTCTAAAAATATTACAATAAATCAACTGAATATTTCTTTACTATATTTAATATCACACGAGTGCGTAAGAATGATAAAGAAATTTTTTATCCCGAAAAAAAAGTTAATCGTGGAGAAAAATGGTAGTGGGTTCAACTATCTTGGCCTGGCTGTCGCACGCCTCCTATTCACAAGTGCTATCCCACTACTGTTCGACGCGGGAACTTTTGTCTGCTATGTTTCCATCCTGGACCGGTACGTTCCTCCTTAATCAACCTGGTGGACGAGGGTTCCCCGAAGTCCACCATATTGACGCCTAACTTAGTGTGGACACCCGATCGACATAGGTCGACGTACGACAGGAATCCCGACCTCAAGCCATTCGACACCACCTGCTCCGTAGTAGCTCGGTTACAGGCGCACGCCACCACGCCCAGCGATAGTATAAATAAAATTTATTGTATATAAAGCCACACATAGTTGATACATGTGAAATAAAAAACATCTGTATAGGTAGACTTTTCTACAAGTTTACAACCGTGAACATTGAAAAGTGTAAGTGTATAAAATATAATTCGAAAAACTAGACGGATGGAGTCAAGTATTAAAAAGTTAATTCAAGTCTGATGCTAGTCTACAGCTCGCGGGCATCGTTACTCTCTCAAATTAATTTCCGTCAATATAGGTAATTTTATGTACTTTTCGGACTTCAGGCCACCATGTCCTCTCATAGGGAGGATTTTTACCGCAGGATTAATTGATTAAATGTGGGAACAAAATTATACAGTCTAATTCGAATCTTTCGTCGATCTTTCGAATTAACTCATTGAGTGAGAGATCTCAATTTCTCATAACGTTTCCATGGCTGTAATTTCAGCCGAGTAAGAGCTTGATTTTCAGTTTTTCACCTTTAAAATCTGTCAACTGATGAAACATTTCTCTCATTGATCAATAACTAACAGCAAAATTTCTATTTCACACTCAATGAGTGTGAGTGCGAGTGAGCTCCTTAAATACCGCAGAGAAAACCGGAATGTTTTAAAAACGCGCGTCGTAACGCGGCCTCGAGTCAAGCATCCATGGTTCGCCCAGTACATAATAGTTCTATATCGAACATCGTTCAATTTCGGCAAACAGTACAGTGTCAGTGATGTAGCTGTGTGACTATTGATATTTAAACTGATGCTCGAATATTCAGTCATGCATAAGTAATGACACGTGCAAAAAATAGCACACAAGGGTGCTATTTCATACGGTAAAAACGGCTAGACCGCTTATGTTGTATCTGAGTACGTACAGGCAGATTACTGGTATTACAGGCAGATTACAGTGTTTTAGTGCTGTTACTCTACATTCAAGTGTTTCGTTTTTTAATTACATCTGCCTAGCATGTAAAACTAACGCTAAATTAAAACTCTTCATGAAATACTCCATTTTAATTCAAAATATGACCAGTTTCACCATTTTGGCCGCTGAAAGGAGAAAGCGTTAAGGGTTGAGTGGACATTCAAATGCTGTTTGCAATGTGTTTTGATCTAAAATAGGCCACAAATAGGTCGACATAGGCTATACTCTCCAAGACCACCATGTTAACGCCTAACTTAGTGTGGACACCCGTTTCCACTTAGGAAAAATCTCCTCTGGATCGGACAGGAAAATTTCCTTTGTCGGTGAGTTCTAAGACGGCGTTTGTACAAAGGAAACTTTCATGTTCCGATCTAAAAGAGAATTTTCCTGAGTGGAAACTAGCCTTTACAGGCGCACGCCACCACGCCCAGCGAACAGTTTACCAAATTTTGTTTTATTTAAAATGACTTATGTTTCTTTTCATAAAGCTATAGGCATAAAGTCCCATTTTAAACGTAACAGAGTGAATACAGAATCAAGATAAAAAAACACATTCGGTAGACTGAAAAATTCAGCAAACCTGCTAACTTAGTCTAATTGAAAAATTAGACAAATCGACGCTATGTCGACGAGGAAACTAAAAATGGTAGTGGGTTGAATACATTGTTTGGATTGGTAGCACAGTCTAATTGAAAAACTAGACCAAAACACGCTACTTCGTTTGCATAACCTATGCCGAAACAGATTATAATAATAAAATTTGACTAGAATTATTTTAGTTAATTGTGACGGAAGAAATTTAGAAGGATTTTATTCCAGGGAGGGAATATAGTAAAAAAAGGGACTAAAATGGTAGTGGGTTCAACTATCTTGGCCTGGCTGTCGCACGCTTCCTATTCACAAGTGCTATCCCACCACTGTTCGACGCGGGAATTTTTGTCTGCTATGTTTCCATCCTGGACTGGTACGTTCCTCCTTATTCAACCTGGTCGATTAAGGTTCCCCGAAGTCCACCATGTTGACGCCTAGCTTAGTGTGGACACCCGATCGGCATAGGTCGACGTACGACAGGAATCCCCACCTCAAGCTATTCCACACCACCCGCGCTGTGGAAGCTCGGTTATAGGCGCACGCCACCACGCCCAGCGAACATTTTACCAAATTTTGTTTCAATTAAATTGACTTATGTTTCTTTTCATAAAGCAATAGGAAGAAAGTCCCATTTTAAACGTAACAGAATGAATACAGACTCAAGATAAAAAAAACGCATTCGGTAGACTGAAAAATTCAGGTAATCTCTTAACTTAGTGTAATTAAAAAATTAGACAAATCCCTGCTATGCTATGTCGACGAAGGAACCAAAAATGGTAGTGGGTTGACTAGGCTGTTTGGATTGATAACGCAGTCTAATTAAAAAACTAGACCAAAACACGTGAGATTTAATTTTCCACGGGCGGTGAGAGAGGGTGCCCCACGGCAAACTATATTTTTACAAATTTCAATACTTTTTCTATAAATGACCACTATAACTTAAATCAACCTAGCCCGTTTTCCAACGTTTCACATCCAGTTGAGTGGTCAAGTGATTTATCTCCCGCGCGTGATGCATGCTTAGGTTCGGACACGGTAGGTGCTATTTTTCGTTCTTCAATTCTCTTTAATTTTTTTTTCTAACTTTCGAATATTTGCAAACTCAGAAATTGAACTACTGACAATATCTTCTGGGTAGTTTCTTAGTTAGGGTTAGGGTCTGGTTTTTTTTTTGCAGTTTACTTTGTTCTATTTAAGAGTGTGAGCTTCTGGTGGATGGAAAGTAGGTAATCTTCAGCCGACCCTCTCTCTCCGCCCGTGGAAAATTGAACCCCAAAACACGCTACGTCGTTGGCATAACTTATGTCGAAATGAATTATAATAAACTTTACTGGAATTATATTTTTGCTAAATGTGACGGAAGAAATTTAGAAGTATTTCATTCCAGGGAGGGAATATAGTAAAAAAAGAGACTAAAATGGTAGTGGGTTCAACTATCTTGGCCTGGCTGTCGCACGCCTCCTATTCAGAAGTGTTATCCCACTACTGTTCGACGCGGGAACTTTTGTCTGCTATGTTTCCATCCTGGACCGGTACATTCCTCCTTATTCAACCTGGCGGTCAAAGGTTCCCCGAAGTCCACCATGTTGACGCCTAGCTTAGTGTGGACACCCGATCGACATAGGTCGACGTACGACAGGAATCCCGACCTCAAGCCATTCCACACCACCCACGCCGTGGAAACTCTGTTACAGGCGCACGCCACCACGCCCAGCGGAACGGAACATTTTACCAAATTTTGTTTGAATTAAATTGACTTATGTTTCTTCTCATAAAGCTATAGGAAGAAAGTCCCATTTTAAACGTAACAGAATGAATACAGGCTCAAGATAAAAAACACATTCGGTAGACTGAAAAATTCAGCTAACCTGTTAACTTTGTCTAATTGACAAATTAGACAAATCCATGCTATGTCGACAAGGAAATCAAAAATGGTAGTGGGTTGACTGGACTGTTTGGATTGGCAACGCAGTCTAATTGAAAAACTAGACCAAAACCCGCTACGTCGTTGGCATAACCTATGTCGAAACGAATTATAATAAAATTTGATTGGAATTATATTTTTGTTAAATGTGACGGTATCTTGGCCGGGTTGTTGCACGCCTCCTATTCAGATGTGCTATCCCACTACTGTTCGACGTGGACCGGTACGTTCCGATCTATATTCATACAGGCATAATAGTTACAACTGAACACAATTAAACACAATAAAACTAGGGTTAACAAAGTCACGTATGATCAATAACATTTTTGTATCATCCATAACAAGCTCACCACTTTACATACAATTTATACTATTTTAACTAGTAGATTCGGTATAGTATTGGTGTTCATAGTATACAAACATATAAAATTTTGTAAAATTGAAGTCGATCCCGTAAAACGCTCAACTTCTCTCTATCCTAAAAGTATACCAAAGCAAAACTCCTTTTTTTTGCTTATATGTATAAAGGTTTCAGAAATTATCAGCTTTAATATTGGGTGACACACAATCTAAAAATATTAATACCCAATGGATTTGACATATATTATCAGTTTGAAACCCGACCTAGGCCAAATATATCGTCAGTATTTCGTTACAGAATATCCATTATATATATATATATAATCTGGTATAAGAACTCATGGAGCATGAACATTTATATGAGCCAGGCTGGTCCTGTTAAACGAATTGAAAAATGGAATAAAGTGAGGTGTAAATTTACTGTTGATTGAGACATTTTATTGTTGCCTAGGAAGGACTTTTGAGTTTTTGCCTGGCTCATATATAAATGCCCTTAATGAAGAAGTATAGAAACCATTCTTCTGCAAGTCGGGTTAGCTCCGTACTAAAGGCAGATTTCTATTATATTAATGGAACACTGACTTCATATACGAAAATCCGGCCGCAGCCGATTACATATAATCAGTTAACTATAGAACAGATACAAGGCTACTGCAAGCAGGTGGTTAGTGTGGTCAAGTGCATCTATTTTAGTTCTCATATAATTACCATGAATTTTGCAATATTTGCTCCCGGTACAGGTAAACTATGGGTCTATAGAGTTCTACAGGATGGCCTGCATGTATATTGGGTTATACAATGAAAGTTAAATATCCTAGTTTGTAAAATACGTGTTGTATTATTACTTAACAGCTCATTGTTTAGGAACGACGAAGATTCAAAATTTCTAAATCCACTCTAAACTGCATTTTTATGCACCAAACAGTGTATAATAGTTATCAATCAGACATTGGACAACAAGTTTTTGAAATTTGATTAAACTTTGACACTCCAACAGGCTCTTATCTTCGGGTGTCCTCATGAGCGTTGGACCAAAAACGATAGACAAGTTCTCTGAAGTCATCATGTTATCTTTATAATGCGTTGTAACACTGCAAATTACAGGGAATAATGTAGTGATGATACAATTTCTTCCTGCTTCAGTTCAGTTTGAACTTTGAAATAAAATTCACTGGGACAGCAAACTAATTTCAACATCCACAACTACCCAGGCGATCTTACGCTCAAAGAGTTTGTCAAAATAGAACCACTTTGCAGTATTTAATCAATAATTTGTTATTCTTTATGGAACCCGTCGATTTTTGCGATTAACAACTAGCCCCAGTCCTTTCCCGCCATTCCGGATATAACCAGAACAATATTTCGAAATAACAAGTGCATGATTTAACCGGCCTCTGCTATAGTTTAGTGGACATTTACAATAAAGGGCTATATAGGTAGACATTAATTCCCACTGTAAAACCATTCATAGTTTGCTGAAAATGGTGACACTCGTAAAGCTGCAAAGTGACTTCAAAAAACCAAATCGTATTAAAAAAACCCAATCCATATCATAATCAACAAATATTTGTAGTTAAGTAGAGTTGTATACTTACATGTTGAGGTGGGAGATGATATATTTTAGAGTTGCATAATGTGCATGAGGTAATTCCGCTAACGATCTACCAATTGCTTCGATACACGCGTTCTTCTCCAACTCTATGTAACAAAGTATTAAACAGCACATCATAAAACATCTATATTGGCGAGAACTTGTCATGGTCGAAGTGAAATTGAAGCTCAAAACCTGGCTCTAAGGTTGAATGGAAAACGCCGTTGAACAGTCGACACTTACGTATTGCTTCGATAAACTTGTTATACGTTTCAAACGTTATCACAGGCAATGGCAGCATACGAAGGTAAAGTTTCAAAGCACCAGCTATAATGTTAATATCTCCGAATTTTGAAGGACCGACGTCAACGACATCTCCTATAAAAAGATCAAAATTTCGAACGTCACATTGGCATAACGTCGTTACTATTATGACACTGCATTTTTATTAATTTGCTCCGATGGTATAGAGAGTCGATCCGCAATAGCGCTAAGTAATTATGGTAGTCTTATACTACTTTTTCCTACATTTAAAGGCTATGAAAAAGGAGAGAAAAAAACAAGGTGACAAGAGAGAGAGCACCCAAGAGTCGAAAGAAGACTAGTCTCAAACAAGTATACAAATCGTGAATCGAACTTTAGAGCTGTCTTCACAGTATACCACACAATATATGGTATTAGCGAGAGAGGGCACGCTTTCCTGCTAAACAAAGATTCTAAAAATCTAAATTCCAATTTTATGACATGGGCACTTTAACATACATACATCACATACATACATAAATAATTTATTTAATGACGCATTTCTCATCACCATTAAATTTATGTTCTTCCTGAGAAGCGTCAAAGCTAAACTTCATATTACGTCAAAACGCAAGCAGCTATACCATGAAACATTTGCGAAATTGAGATATAGAAAGTCGCCCAAAGCAACACAGCTGCATGCCTAACTAAAACAATTAAACAAGCCTGCATTTTCGTTTTAAGTTTGACACTATGATGAGAAACCCACTGTTTGAATGTCGAGTTTCAAACCGGGTCAGAATGAAAACGAAATCTACAGTAGGCTACGGTACATAACAGCATTAACTATTTATATTGCACCCAAAGGGAGCCTCCAACCTTTGTCATATAAAGTCTTTAGATATTCAATGTCATCCGCAAACCCTGATACTCGGTAAATGCCTTCACATGTCATCCCTAAAGGTAACCGTAGGTGAGAGTAAATTTGATTACTATTAATAAATCAGCTTTAAAAAACTGAAATGGGAAGTGAAGAAAATCCGAGCAATATGTTAATTTATATAACAGCTAGTTTTCTATATAATACATGTACTGCTAATTCACTAAGCTAGCTGCTCCTCAAACCTGAACTCCGAGGGACTGTCAACTAGATAATCTTTTAAGTAAGGAAATGGCCTTTGAGGCAGGACAAAAATATAAACATGATTTTGGAAATACCTCTCTTTTCAACTTCTCTTACGCAGTCCTCCAATATAGTGGGAAGTTTTGTATTGTGTGCTTTCACAAGAGTGGTCAGATCAACTCCGAACACTAAAAATACCATGCTTATTGTGAGATGTATATATGATTCCTGGGTCGGTATATTTGCATGTATTTTTATCGCTACCGCGTCCCTAAATAAAAAGCCCGGTTGTTTTTCTATGCCACGTATTGCATGCACACATGCACACCTCTTAAAGCTGCGGTGCATTTCGCCCAAATACAAAATACGGACGCGCTACACCAATGGCATTTATTCGCCATTTCCACATCGTCGTTGACGTTCTCGTGATGAAGGTGTAGTGCAGGATCAAATAACTTTAGAGTTTTCGCGTCGTTTTTGTGTTTACGTGTGGACGCCGAAAAATATTTTAACGGATAAATATTTTTTACATGGCCTAAGCTAAATCTGCCTGTAAGATATAGGCATTGTCAGACTACGTTCACTCAAAGTTAAGAAATATAACGCATTGTTAGCAGGCTATTAACACAGTATACAGGGGTTTCGATTTTAGTAATTGGTTCAACAATATTTCTGGTTAGTCGATTGTAAAACTGAATGATCATTATAATTATGTTTGGCTATATTTGATTTGGGAAAAACAGGCTATAAAGTTATTATTATACGCACTCTATAGCAATTAACCCTTGGAAATTATTGAAATTAAGTTAACAAGTACAAACCTCGTTTTACTAATTTCTTGTGCGGTTGACAATTATCTTTTATTAAACGCGTGATACATTGTTTGTGTGCATTCAATCCACAATCTAATGGTAATTTTAGAGCAGAATTAGGGCTGGTTTTGATGGCTCACAATTTGGTCAAAATTTGTGGTTTGTTAAATTCAATACCTTGACATTTGTGTCCTTGTTGCTTCAAGCCCCATAAGAAGTTTTTACAATAATCACACCAATAGAAACCTTTATAAGTGTGAACCTGAGAAAAAATTGAAAAACAATGAAAATTGACAGCGCTATGTGAATGAAATATTTTGTAAGGGTCTTGCTTTCCTGTTGCCATATATTATTAAAAGGTTTCCGATATTCAGGTGGTAAAAACAAAGATATGAAGAGATTAATTCTTACAAGAAGGACAATCGTATGATGCACTGCAGTACCTTAAAGTTGTGTTCTTTGGTGTATCCAGCAGCAGATTTGATGCTCTGCCTGTGATCCACACTGGGCCTTCTTTCATCACCCTGCATGTACAGGAAAGGTCAAGATGATTAAATACATTGAACTGAATTGTGAAGATTGCATTAGATGTTAGTTCCAGACATGTTTGAACTGGAGTTCTATTTATATAAAATCTTGCAAAAATTGAGGGATATTTTATCCAAAATTAAAGACTTATTCAAATTGTACAGAAGTGATAAAATGATAACATCAATGAATACTAAAAAACAGTGAATGTTTTACAACACTTTGCAAGTTTTACAACATTTTGCAAAAATGGTGAAACATACAATTCGTCAACTTTAACAAGTTGTAACAAGATTTGTAACAACCATGTTTGTAATGTGTGAGACAACTTCGTCGAATTTTTTTTTCCAAGTAACACACGGACAACCCTTGTGTGCTTACCAATGTTTACGAATTAATATGAACGGTTTTGGTAATGATGCGTGTATGCGCAATGGATGCAGTTATACATGTATATTATTATACGTTTAGAGTAGACGGAAATAATCTATGTGGGAATATTGATAATTAATTGGTTTTTTCAAAACCAAGCCGACTGCAAGTGATGGTCTTCTATAGTTACCGTTTGCTTTTGTTCGTTTGCATCTGACGATGATATTCTTCTTCGCGTTGATTCGGATCTTTTTGGCGGGGTTGGCGGCTGTAACATCATAGTTTCTATATAATCCTTGGCATTCATTTCAATATACATTGAAATCAATCCATCCTCCACCAAATCATTGAGCGTTTCGAATCTTTTCTCGGCTGGAAAGGTGCGTTATTTTTAATCATTATCAGGGGGGGGGTGATACATAGTGCGACATAGGGATGTTTATTTTCGAAAAACAATTCTGATGCTTAGCCATTATTATTTGCACTCTCAACCTCAACTCTGGGATGGCTGATGAGCAAGGCATACATGGGAGACTAGTACCTAGGGTCTCCGAGGGCCCCCCAAAAAAAAACAACCTGGGCACGAGGTTAACTTGCTGTTAACTTGCGCTTTCATACATAGTGTTTCATATTCACTCTTGTGATTAGTGGCATTATCTCAAAGCACGTTTCATTGTCATTTTTCGTTTTTGCTTGAGGAAAGAATGAAATGCGCATCCCTCCTTTAGGCTTTACTATTTTCCTATAAAATTATGCATATTTCCTTTATCTTTAGCGTTTTGATTAGCTTAAAAACGAAATTGCCCCTGTTGAACTCCCCTGTTTGACATCCTAGACCTGGTATATATCACTGGTATATATCCCCTAGGCCCTACTCGCCCAATTCATCCTTACCGACGTAATGCATTCCATCATAATACAATCGGAAATTCATGGTTTGATTTTGAATTCTAAAGAATGTGAACAAGATCTTTAACAACCGACGTAATAATTTTAAGGGAACAGCCCTTACGCAAGTAATTTGCATCTTCAATTTCGTTACAGAACTAATAGGAGAGTGAGAAAATGTGGTTACATCGTTATCGGTGGGGTTTTTAAAACAGCGGATATCTTAGAGGTTTTTGAGGAAAACAGGAAGTGAAAGAAGAAGCGAAGCTTAATATGCATACGTTCATATAATGTATTATTGTTAAATTAATACATCATATCTTTTAAACATATATTGTTTTAAATGCCGAAAACCAGACATTACAAATATAAAATGATATTGACTTGTGCCTGTGAGTATTGCACAATAGGGAACGGGAGATCCAAGAAACATGCTCAAGTACCAAACTTAACCAAACTATAACATGAGAACGAAGCACTGAATAACGAAATATACATAGACTTTCAAAAAATGATAAAAACGGCATTATTTTAGCATTGTTTCATTGTAATGACAGACATTGTTGCCAATAGCAATGAACAATGCTGTGTTGTGAATCTAACTTTTTTGGAATATTTAGCTTGAACAAAGCATGATCATCACCCACCAAATACAGACACACAAATGAAGGCAATCCGCCCTCTCGAAAAGCAGTGTTAAAATTTCTCTTACCTCATGGATAAGGCATATGAGCCAGGGCTTTTTTGACTTTCTCGCACTAAATAACTTCCACTCTGAGCTGATACAAGGCGGTCTGCCTCTTCTCGTGATATTAAGCCATGGAATCTATGTAAGTGGAAATACCTTGTATGTTAGTTTCCTGCTTCTAAGACATAGGCACAGCCTTTTTTGAGTTTTTTCTACCAGAAGAAAAAGGGATAGTTTTTATTAAACATCTCCAATGTACCCAAGAGTTTACAGATAAATCATGCATGATAAAAATGCAATTTTTGTTTACTAAACTTGTATATGAAACCAAATGAAAATATCAAATAAATATTATATAAGATACTTCATATATTGATACAATAGTTGTGTTTAGAAATTTGAAAATAAAGTATATAATCCAGGGACTGATTGTTCAAAAGACATTTCTAAAGCTTAAAGGGTGGAAGTTGAAAATGGAAAACAAAATTAAACTTTTTTGAACAACTGAGTTGAAATATTTCGATGTTAATAGTTTAATTTTCAATGGGGGTACATATTTAATGCATAGGATGCATGTTTAGTCATTCACAAGATGTATGAGTATACTTTAGACTGGAAAAATGTGTAGTAATACAGTAGCTTCTTACGGCAGGAAATTGCCATTTGTGATCAATTTTCCAGTATTCAACCGTATATGCAAATGAAGCTCAGTCAGCTTATTAATCAAGGAAATTATTTGGAAGAATTGATTTTGTAATAATTCTAAAACTTACTCTTTTCCATAATGATTAGGTTTGTTGTTAATCTATGATTGAAAAAAAAATAAGGGTGATTATTTTGAGTTATCAGTTAGCTTGAATGACAACTTAGATCTTTTCCAAAACATGAAACCCAGGGTTACGATGAAACTCCTGGATGTCATTTTGCCTGCAATATTTCTAAAACCAATGTCTTTTTCCACAAGGAATTTACAGCTAATATAAGAAAGTTTATTAAAAATAAAAAATTAAAAAAGAAAATTCATTTTAAAAAGAAGTTCAAAAGTTATTTAATAAAAATTTTAATAAATTTTCAAACAAAGAATATGCCAAAAAATGATGTTCCAAATTCAGAAAAAGTTGGCATTTGATAGTTAGGGACAACTATTATGTATTATCATATTTCACTTATTTTATCATAAAATCATCAATACACATAGAGCAGATGAAAGGATCTCTTTGTTAGCTTGTGTGATGTGAATAAAGGTATCCAACAAGGAAGTCATTAATGTGTGGGAATAAGAGACAGCACTTATTAAAGCTTGAAATATATAGAAAATTCCATGCCAACATACAAAACATAAATCATATCTGAGTCCAATAATGATGTGCTAAAACAATATTATTTCCTCATACAATTTCAAATATGGAATCTTATGCTTTTATTTGCAGTCATTAAATGGAATTTAATTGTAAAATAGTGAAAACGACAATTGATCAACGCCCTAAAGGCAGTGCCAACAATAATTAGATAGTGGGATGATGTATAAATTTCATAATGATATATGTATTAAACTTGTGTATTTTTAGCAGGTGGTATAACAATTCTATTAAGTATTAAGTATTTAAAAAAGATTTAAAACAATTGTTTTTTATTAAGGATATTTCTGTGTCGTCAAACAGTAGACAGGTACAATTGCTTACAAGTGTGAAACTGTTTGTGGGAGTTAAATTAATACTTCCATAGTCTATCACACTATAAAATTCAGACTAATTGGTTCCATATGATACCCTGTGGAGGATACTAGCCATTTCAAATCACTCTAATATGTAAACAAACAATTGTTAGATACGAAAATGTCAGATAACATTCAAATTCTGACAAACGCTTTTCAAAATGTTATTATACGGGAAACAATTCATTTTCCATTATCCCAAAAAGCATTGTATAAAGAACCATTGTATGCATGTACATAGCATCCGTTTTTAAAACAATATTAAAAAAACTTTATAATACAGACCTGTCTTTCGCATCGGACTCGAGTTGGTTTAGGTGCACGCAGCTGCAACTGATAAACTAAAAAGTGTAAAAGGTATTTTCATTGTTACGCCGACCAGTGTTAAAGCGTTTAGTGACGATTCGTCTTATATTGAAACGCTTGCTGTGTTCCAAATCATATATTGTGGAGAATGTATTATATATAAAATTCATAAAATTTTCAATCAACTTCAATACTTCCTGTTTCGTAACTTTACAATTTGTATGTGTGATCCGATCACATTGCCGTATAAAAACAAAACACGGATAAAACAGTATCGTTATTCTATTTAAGGTAGACATACAAAATGCTCGGACAATACTCACGATAGCTTTTCCATACTGGCGGCTGAACTTCGTGATAAAGCGAGCCTAGAAAATATTCGATATTATGTAAACACGAAACGCTGGGTAGACAAAACTTTGCGTCTATTGATCACAAGATCATGAGATAATTTCGAACAACTTGCCGTCGGGCTCGTTCTCTTCGTCCTCATTCATACTGTATTGTCGCAAATAATGCTCTAAATTATTGGGAATATCGTCTCTTTTAGACTTTAACTATAAGAAAAGATGCAGCAGCTGCGAAAAAATAGTCCTTGCGATTTTTGAAGTTCGATAAACGATAATTGGAAAATTAGTCCAGCGGTTGCCTTCGAAGCGTCCCAAGCCCTCCCTTAAAGTCCCTAATTGTCCTCTGTTGTTCTAATTTATATCTATTAGAAATATTTTTAAAGTATTTTTACTATTTAAAATTTTAATACTACTTTTCTTTAAAAAGAGAATACGTATTATGTACGTACAGAAGTGAAAAAATATGGCAGAGGTAAAAGGAAGGAAGAAGATATACTGCGATGTTTGCAACACATTTATTTCATCAGGTACGTACTAAAGCTTATGTTCGATGATATTTAATTTTACAAGTATGCCAGTATGGAATGTAAGAAAGTACGCACCAAACTACCTACAAACTTAGGCTAAACTAAGATCAGACTGCTCAGCTGAACGGGATGAACGATGAAGGCTAGATTTAGCTTGCTAACTTTATAAAAATGTACATCTTAATTGCATACAGCCAGTACTTAATTTAGCAAACTAAGAAAAATGTGCGCCGAAATACGAACGCCAAATTTTGTACACCAAACATTATTATGCAAAATTTCACGCAAAAAGGGCGCCGGAACCATGGGGGCAGCTGCCCCCCCCCCCTGCTCTTTTCGCATAAAAATAACCGGTAATATTATTTAAAATGCGTTCTCCGGATTTTCAAGTTCGCATGTACTTGTAAGTTTGAGTTTCCTCTTTGTGTCGTTGCTAAGGTAAAATGAATGTGCCCTTTTCTAAAACTCTGCCCCCACCGCCCTAAACTGCTTCCGGCGCCCCTGAGGACATGTCCGGCGTACGCCTTCTACGTAGGCCTTCTACTTCTACCAAAACTATTTGTTGTATCTGTTTTTCATCAACTTCATATTCAGACTTCTACTTTATTCCCATTTCTACAAACTTTTTCAACCAGACAAGCATGATACATCTGGTCAAGTAAACCCCGTCCAGGCCCTCCTCACGAGAACATTATCAAATTAAGCTGTGCATGTATAGCATTAAAATTACATGAATACATGATATTCCATTTAGCAAACTTTATGTTTTTCAGATCTTTACTACGAAGTTTCACCGTAAATAGAGAACAATACATGCATTCTCAGAAATATGGAATTTATATCAAGTGTTGAGAATTATATTGCAGTCTTTCACTGTGCTCACTCTTTCAATATCATTCTCAACATGCACTCAACAAATTCCATATTTTCTAGTATCTATGTATTTTTGTTTTTATTATATATTTTATAATATAAATCTGGTTTTATTAAAAGTACCTACTTCCTGTTTGGTGGAGCAAACACAATAATCGCACATGTGTTATTATGATTAATAATTGCACATGTGTCATCATCGCTTTACACATGCAATGGCAGATTTGCCAATAAAACACTGCATATTATATAATAAATTGTAATATATAATATACAACACTGTAGTGTGTAAATCTTGTGTAAATATGGTACCATGTAGATTGACTGATGGTTTTCTGTTTATCAGTCTGCATGTTGGCAGGCAGGTTACTACAATATGAATAATTGTTGTCTCAGCAATATGTTATTTAACAGAATATTAATCAATTATGTAATGCAGTTGCAATTTAAAAGATACTGTTAATAATAGAAATGGTTTCTTTAGAACCATTACTTGATATCCATAACAATGGAAAGAAGCACCAAAGATTATTGCAATCTCGTAAAGAGAGACAAGCATGTACAGAAAGAAGTATTTACGTTCGTGGCTTCGAAAACAGAAACGCCTTGGAAAATGATCTCAATGAATATTTTTCTCGGTTTGGTACAGTAACAAACATTTTTATCGACAAGCAAAAGGTTTGATATTATGTTTAAGTATTATTTAAAGAAGCCTGGTGTTTAATTGGTTAACAATAAATTGTGAAGTTGTTATTATCAACTCTTTCTGCATTAGTTGACAAAAATAGGATGTCAAAAACCGGAAAAGTAAACCAGTCTGCTAAATTGATGAGTTTGGTGTGTGTTTCTAGCAATGTTAAGTCAAATGTAAAATGTTTCTTCTCATTTTGAAAAGTTGAATAATATTTTCATCCCTACAGGCTACATTTGCCATCGTCGAATTTGATTGTCCAACGGAGGCTGAAGCAATCCTCAAGTCACAACAGCTGCCCTTGTTTTTTGGAAAGCACCTGATAATCAAGAAGCGAACATTGAAGGAACGATTTCAAGAGAACCCAAAGGAATCTTATAAGTCCAGAAAGGAAAAAGAAAGAGCAAAAACGGGTTGTTTTCTCGACGAAGAAGTAATCGAAAAAATAAAACATATGACAACGGTAATATACACTTAATTATAACTGACTAATTGGAAAAAATGCAATTGATATTTTTTTAGAATTAATGAGATCAAGAATATAAGCATAATATAATTTTTTTGATGACTTTAAACCTTTTTTTCAGTTAGATGAGCAAATATTAGGTGTAACCTTATCAACGTTTCTCACTGAAGACGATTTGAAACTAAGACATCTCATTGTCCAGTACTTGCAAGAAATATTTGTTGAGGTATTCCCAGCATGTAGCGTAACCCCGTTCGGTTCAACGACTACAGGACTTGGCTTAAAAGGCGCCGACATCGACCTATGCCTTTTGGTAGAGCACGAAGCTTTAAATCGCGTTCTGGACCACGACGACAGCTTACCAAGCTCTTCTGATTTTCTTTCCGAAGTGTTGGAATTTGTTGTCAACATTCTCCGGCGGTTCGCTGCAGGTTGTCAGAATGTTGTTGGGGTCAAGACAGCTAAATGTCCCGTCGTGAAGTTTGTTCACCGTGATTCTGGGTTATCTTGTGACCTCAGTATCAATAACAGGTAAAATTAATTAATTCAAAGTGGTGGAGAAATAGTAGGTATTAGTGATGGGCGATACTTCGATACCAAGTATCGATACTCACCGATATTTATGATTTGCAGTAAATATCGATACTTGACCAAGTAGTTGCAAAATTTCGATACTGAGCCTACAGTATTTTAGGTCAGCGTTTTCCACCAAAAAGTATAAAAAATCTGATTTATTTTTTTTTGTTCGTCACTTTTTTGTTCCTTAGTTCTTTAATTATATGCTACCAATGAAAATAATTTCTGCCCATTTTTCATTTCGCGAAAAAACAAAGGGAAAAACCAAAAATGTGAGTGGATAAATGCACATTATGGTATGGTATATGAAATTACAAACGGTAAAAAACGGCTCAAATTTCTGGTATCGGTATCGAAATTTGGTATCGATACCACTACAAATTGTCTGGTATCGAAACGGTATCGTATCGATTTGAAAAAGCTGGTATCGCCCATCACTAGTAGGTATTGTATAAAAGAATAGTTAACTTTTATCTGTAGTTAAGGACAGAATTGGCCAATTAGATTCGTTTATTTCTGAGTTAACTAGGATTTAACAATGCAAAATGTAGTTAAATAGTTTTATACAACCGGAACCAGGTGTACAACACATGGCGATGGCTGATGCACTATTATTTTTTAGTTCAGTGTTTTATATGGTAATAAGAAGAATAGAAAATATAGTATTTGTTTCCAAAGTGAACAGAACCAGATGTCTCGATGAATTAACAGCTTTAATTTTGGGCTTAGCCTTTGTTCAGCCTAGCCTACTGGTATTTTAACCAAAACTGATAACATAGTGTTACATATTTTTTAGGTTGGCGTTAAGAAATACTGAGCTCATTAAATCCTACGTTGCGCTGGACGACCGCATTCGACCACTCGCTATCACGCTGAAGAACTGGGGCGCAGCAAAACGTCTGACCGGAAGTGGTGGTCGCCAAATCTCAAACTATTGCCTTGTTCTTATGCTACTCCACTTTTTACAGCGAACACGCCCTCCAGTTATTCCTGTGCTGCAGTTGCCACCTGAAGATGGTGCGATGGTAATAGACGATGCAAGTGCAACAGGCTCGTCACATTCTGAGGAGATGTTAATTGATGGATGGGACTGCAGTTTTATGTCTACTGCCAAAGAGTCGAGCCAAAACAGGGATTCACTAGGTACAGTAAGTACAGTACGTTAACGCGATTATTGGCGTAAAAGTCCAAACGAATATATATAAGGCTAACCATGTTAACTTTCATATTGAGGTTTCTCATGTTTGATCGCTCTCACTTTAATCTTGAGTAGTTGCCGTGCATGTCCTGACATGAAATAATTAATAGTTGAACGGGAAAATAAATGGGCAACTTGGTGATGGGTCTGGCATAAGATCAGTCCTAGAACATTGTGCAGGGAACACTATACATAACTTTCCTTTCCTTGAAATTTTCGTGATGAGATCAACTTGTTCTTGAATTGGAAAGGAAGACCATGCCACGCCACAGACACTGTGCAAATATACATTTATTCGTATTGTGCTATTTATTCGCGCCCACTTACCGAGAAAAAAGCGTTTTTATGCGTTTCATTTAATCTTGTTTAGGGACATTATTGAAAGGTTTGTTTGATTACTATGGTACGTTTGACTATGAAAATGATGCTATTACAATCCAAAATGGTGTCGATCAACGCGTATTGAAAGTCGGTATCAAGGAAAGCCTACCGCAATCGGCCGTTAATGCCACCTTATTTAAACTATCTGCCGTGTGTGTGCAGGACCCACTTGAACTATCTCACAACTTAACACAGCATGTTCCTGGTGAAACTCTTCGAACCTTCATCCAATATTGTCGAGAAGCACATAGAAGTTTGTCAAGTGATTCTCAGCTAACCACAGATGATATAACGAAAGCAAGTGGTTTTATTAAACTTTTTTCATTACCGACTGATTCAAATCAAAAGGCGTCGAAATCTTTTTATCCCTTTACTATACCTTGTGTAAGAAGCGAAACGTTTTCTTGTAGTTCGCTTGAACAGACTTGTAAATTTGTTGTAAATTTACTAAACAGCGAGTTGAAGATTGCAAGTGAATTTCAACCTGATATGGGATGTACGCCAGCTCCAAACACGGTACTAAACCCCGAGTCAATGACTGATGAGAATGCGTTAGACAGTAATATGTGTATGGATGAAGATACTGCGATTAGCGAAGGTCTTTTATCGACGTCTTCACGTAAGCGGCCACACAGAGCTGAAAACTCTAATGATACCAGTGCCAAGAGAATGAAAAGTTGCGACGAGAGTGGAAACACAGCGTTTAGTTTTCTCTGTAAGGCTTCACAGATCACGTGGCAAAATCGAAGACGAGAAAGACGACTTCAAATGCCAAAGGCAAAGGACGGCACAGCGAACAGTGGTAGGCGTGGCGAAATAGCCGAAATGGAAGTCGCCATTCCTCTTGGAAAAGAAATTACAGAAACTGGGGAGAAAAGCCTGCAATCATTTTCGCAAAACATTGCAAGTCAATCGCATGCCAGTGGCAGTACCAGGCGAATGGAGGTATCGTCGCCTTCTTTTGACGCAAATACTGATCAAAACACTTCCAACAGTCTACCTGTAATAGAGTTTAGACTGACCATCAGTGAACATGCTGGTAAAAGGTCAAGCTCTATGTTTAATCAGCAATGTGATGTAGTTTTGACCCACTTAGGGGGGCCCTTGCAACAATTTGCCAACTTCTATGCGTTCTTTAAGAAATATGTTGCACACAAAATCACTGAAAGTTGTGCATGATTTTAAAAACGTGTTAAATACATGGATAAAGAAATTCTTGATGCTTGGTAAAATTATATTAAAAATGTAATTTCATATGTGTATGCACTTTATTTTCTTCAAAACGTAATAATGCATATCATCTCCTGTTATACAAAAGTAAATCAATCACTGTCTTGCCGCTAAGGAAATGTAACTCGCTGAAATTACAAATTTACATTTTTGAAAGGTCGGTCATTCAAAATCGGCTAGCCAGTGAGTTTGCATTTCTTATGCCTGCATATAGAAATACTATAAAATTGGATTATATGTCCAGGACAAATTTAGGTACCACTACAGTACTTTTAATAAAGCATTAACCAATCAAATGCGATAATTCTGTCAGATTAACCAATCACGTGGGCAATAAGTCAACCAAAGATAGATGTGGTGGAAGTTGAAACTCGAAATCATCTTAACATTCACATCACAGCCTTCAGATGAATCTCTCTTGTCGTATAACATGTGTAAAGAGCAAGGTAAGCCTTGCGCGTCGACTTTCAGTTGTCTCTGTAGAGAAGTAAACCAGCGAAATTCACTCCTGTCACTGCGAGCGCTCGATCCTTGGTCATCAGGTCATAAAGCCGTTGTCGGCTGCATTATAGCGTTTTTGGTCGGGCTTGCTTGCAGGTGTTGCAGCTGTTAACGACACCTTTCACCATTTCTTCGCAAACTTGGTATCCAAATCGTTCATTTGTTTTTGCTATCGTTGAGTTTATATACTTTATACATTCCCCCTTGAAAGATTTGCTCATGTACAGTACCTTGCGCACCAATAGTCGGTCTGACGCGCAGTTTCTCGGAAAAAAGATCGGATTTATCCAGTATGCTCCGTCAACTCGCACACGTCATAGCGGTGCGCGTAAAGAGTTCAACTTGAATCATTCTTCACGTTCTCGTGAACGATTTTCACCGGGTAAGTTCGGCTAGATTTTTCGGGTACGTAACAAGCCGTGTCACCTGCAGGGAATTCTGGTCTTAATAGTCACGGCGGGAAATTTTGGGCCCTCTCAAACAACAATTTCGTCTGCATCAGGGGGCAAAATACAAATCGTGACGATGCAACGCCCATGCATGATGAATATCACGCGCGCACTCTTCGCAACCTGATTATTATAAACCATGATGTAATTTTAAAATGTTGTCACAGAATGTGAGCATGCGCATTTGTCGTGTCGCAATATTGATAGCTTCCGTTAAAATTTTCCCAAAGGGAACTCGAATTGTTCTTCCGACTTCGAACAGTGTATTTTGAATAGTTTCTTTTCTTCAACATATCATTCGTCGATACGTTTCGTGATAAACGATATGGAAAAAGATCAAAAGAACACATTGCCGTATCCAGCATACGGTACAGATACAAACAGCGGTTATCCGCCAGTTTCGACGGCTTATCCACCGATGGCGAGTGCCTACCCTCCTCCTTCGGCTGAAGCTTACCCACCAACAACAAATGCTTATCCACCTCAAGCGAGCTCGTATCCTCCGCCAATGGCAGCCCCTCCACCATACTCAGCCACTGCTCCACCATACGAACCCGCACAAACGACACAAATTACAAACACGACAATCGTTGCGATCAGTAACACTCCAAGCTCCTATCAAAATTATTCACCCGAGGTTGGATTCATGAGCAAAACCGTTCGCTTAGGTAAGTTTTGCTAGTCGTTAGGAAGATTTCGTCAAATATATATACCGAGATATGTTCGATAGATTTTAATTTTCAAACGTGAAACCTGAAAATGGAAGGTAGCCGTTCGATCAAATCACAAATGATCAAACTGTCTTGACTTAAGCTTTGTTTACAAATACTTGTATTACGTTAATAATTATTTTGTTACTGGAATATGGTATTTTGGATGTTGAAAAAACATAGTTTATATGCGTATATATGGCATTAAGTGACTTTTAAAACACTGTTATTTATTCAGTCAATACAATTATACCAATATTTTTCTGCTGGATGGTGAGGAATACTTTATTAATTATATTCAAAGAAACGTTTAGCAGGACAAAGACAAAGTGGATCCTAAGACTTTCAGGAATCCCTGATGTTTCTGTGATGTTAAATTTCTGTAGCCACACAAGTAACTTAAGACATTTAAGCATGGTTAAGGTACACATGTTGCAATGCAAGGAAAGCCACATTACTGCAACATTAAAAGTATGTATAGTTTTATTTATGGAAAAAAATGGGAAATTACTAAGGCATTTTTTGAAACAATGAGTGTATGTTCATAACATTTTTCAAAGAGGAAATTTTATTCGCAAAATTATATTGTCTGTGTGATGTGAACATGGATGGCAAAATTTGTTGGTAATTGGTAAATGTATACACATGTCCATTTATCACACAAAGATCAAAATTTACAAGGGTAGTTTATGATTATCAATTTTCAGTTAGAAAGTTGAAACATGCATGATGAACCACCCCTTGAAATTGAAAAATAGCATATTTCTCAGCTAATCGAATCATGGAAATCAATCTCATGATACACTATAGTGAGATCATATTTTGTTCACTTTCAATTTCATTATAAAATTTTTTAAAAATTTGCAATAGGTAATTAATTTTAATGAGCATAATACATATTCCTCCCAATTTTCTTCATATATTTGCACATGTACACCACAAACCTGATTGTCAACAATGTTATTCATTTAAGTTCAATAAGCTTAAAAACCCAATTGGCAAGTCCGCCACTTTTTCCTAACCCATTTTTTTCTATTTGCATATAGGTTTTATTCGAAAGGTATGTTGATTTCTTTACTATGGCATCAAGGCTCACAAGAACCAGTCCAAGCCCTGAGGCAATTTTTTTACTGTTCCCCCTGTCACCAGTGTTGGCCCCAACCCTGTTTGATTGGTTTGATCATAGACAATCCAGAAGATACTCGGATTGTCTTTTGGATTGTCTATGGTTTGATTTTATTAATAATAATCCAGTGAACTGCCCAGGCCCAGGGTATTTTGTTTCTTTTGTGAATAAACAATATAATTCCTGGATTTTCTCCAATGATTTTCTCCTTTTTCTCCTTTCTGCATCAGCATTGACGGAATGACCTGTTCTACATTATCTACGTAGCTATTGTTAACTCGTTTATGAATACCTTTCTTGTGTTTCATTTTTAAACCGCTTCTGCTAAAACATTCCGTCGTACAAATGTGGCGAAACTACAAAAATACATATAAAAAGTGTAAATAAGCGTAAACCTAATTGTCGTACATCATAAAATTATCAAAATAAACTTACACTTGTTTCTATCTTCAATAAAATAAGTTTTAAGTCCAAATTTTTTAAAAAATATTAGTACGAACTCCGTTCAACGTGCTACGTTGTTCCCGCCTTTTTTGTTGCTAAGCAACATGATTTTAAATCTTATTTTTGATCACTGAGCTATATTATAATTCCAGTATAAGTGGATAGGCCTATCCACCTGATAAGGATTTTTTCAATCTTGTAAGAATGCTTGAAAAGTAATAAAGCTTTCTGTAATTTTAAGAAAAATTACTGTAGTAATTACTACAAATTTCCAATTACTACAATCATCCGAAAAATTACCAAAAGTAATTAAAATTACTACGTCTGGTCACACTGAAAAGAGCGTTCTGGAATTAGTAAAATTGTTTGGTGTCACGTATCAAATGAAAAATGCGAAAGCAGAGCTGAGGCCAGAAGTGCCTAGCACTTCTGAACGTCTAATTTAGAGCTTCATCAGCGCAAATCCAATACTCTACATAGAGGCACTTCTTATTCGGCACCAGTTCGCTTGTGTGCTTCCCAACAAGGAAGAATAACTTTTGCGAGCAGTTTCTGTTTGAACAGTATTATGTATTTATGCTATAAAAAATGTGGCTATTCCTCTCACCGGTTTTATAATTTCACTGTCATTCCTCTCATTAACTTAAAGGTATTTACTATATTGTCCTTTCAACTTGTTGTGACAGTTGGAGTTATCTGCTTGTTCCTCTTTGTGTAAGTTTCTGATATCGATTAATATTTGCTTCAGTGTAAATTCTAATTACGATTTTTTTTTATGATATTCTTGCAATACACATTTTATAATGACGTCAATCGCGGAAAGTCAAATGAAACACAACGTTTGCTTGGCTCGCAAGCCGATCAAACTTTGTTTAACGTACGACTTTCCGCGCTTGACGTAATTATGAGAAAGGCCTATTAGTTATAGTTACAGGGCCTAGGGAAGAAACTTTACGACTGAAAAAACGACATATATCGTCATTTGGAATACCAACCGCGCTCTCAAATGTTATTAGTTCGACATCATACATTATTGTCGTATATTTTGCAATTTATTGGCATTGGCGTTTTTTGTCATATTGTATTAAGTAATTTTAAAAATTCAGTGGCGTAGCCAGACCGACGATTTAGTCCTGCTATGCGAATTTTAAGTGATTATCATTATTCATTTCTTTATAAAAATCAGTGTTTTCACAGTATATGCATGAGCACCAAAATGTTAGCATAAATTGTAAAGTCGCCTCGTATTTGTCCAATTTTTCTTGACATCCTCACGTAATATTTAAACGCTCTCGTTTTAGACCTGCTGTTGAAAAAGCTGGACAAAACACCATTCTCTACATTATTGCATAGTAAGTGATGTGAATTGCATGAAAGTTCTGATGGTTCAGTAATAATTATATGGTTCATATTGGGTAACTTTGTTATAAGCGCATGCCCCAAAGTCTTCCGGATAATGAACTTAACAGTCTTCTACATTACTTTTAGTCTTATCTTTTTTGTTCTCTATTTCGTTCTGGTTTGCTGTGACTCAGTCAGGTGAGTACTTCTGTTCTGCACTGTTCAGTTCCCATCAGGATTGAGTGAATTAATCAGTATTGGTTAGAAATATTCATACGAATGAATGAATGAATAAGAGAATTCATCCGCGCTTAGGAAGGTTCAAAAAAGTAAAATTTACAAGGGAATATATCCATTCAACTTATCGAAAGTTTAAATTTATTATAAGTATTATAAAAAATACTTCCGTATGTACACATGACTTCGACAGGGGTAAATAGGGTTACGATAGGGTAAATTTATGCTATGTAAGCCCGCATCTATAGATTATTCTTTAAACTTTCTCAGTTAATGTTTAACATTTTGCTAATCTTATTTCTGTTTAGGCGAAACCATCCGACCAACCTAATTTTGTTGGGACTATTTGTAAGTAAAGTCTAAATATTTTATAGCTATACTGTATCTTATTACAACTATCGAATTACGTGTATTTAAATACGTTGCATGTGTCTTCATGTTTGAATCTTTTAATCTCTTATACAATAAGCGGTAATAAATATTTTATCAGACTTGTCACTAGATCACTCTAAATGACGTGGAAAATAAGATGGAAACATTCGCCCTATCTAGCTCGTTTTCCCACTGATTATTGCTCGTTCTCCCAAACACCCACACGTATTTCTGTACGGAAAATGTTTTATATTTCTTAATTGATGCATGAAAAAATTCCTCGACTGTTCATATGTTTAGACTCTCGCACTGTCGTTTCTGGTTGGGGCGATTTCGAGGTAAGCACTTTCACGGGAATGCGAAAATTTCGATGACCCATTTACTGATATTTACGTAGCGTCCAGGAGCAGTATCTATTGTGGACGATTAATGTGTTAGTGCGTGCATGCATAAGTCTTGACAATGAGTTTTTTGAAACATTTATTCCCAATAAAAATTTGTGAGCGATTGGTCCTTTCTAGATTTAAATCTCTCTGGGGGAAGCTGTCATCCTTCCCCCACCCTGCTTTTTGTACGCCTATACCTATGTACTATGTAGCAGAGCCCTATGATGCTTTATTAGTAGGAATGAACTTGCACTACCATGTTTACTGTTAAATGTGTTTAAAGATATCATTAATTTGATTTTTATATTTTTATATAGTTACCATAAAACAAATATTGTTCTGGTGATGATGGGGGTCACTGCGGTAAGATTCGTCCTTGGGTGCGAACATCATCCTGACGCACTTTCATAACAATTCTTCATTATATTTAGATTGTGACCATTTGCGTGTGTTTGTTCGCTTGTCAGACCAAGGTGAGTCAAATTGACTGAATTAGCACAAGATATCAGTGACTCTACACACTTATGCATAAAACGATTTTTATCCTCTAAGTTTCGTGCGCGACTTATATAGGATAATCCGAAGTAAATAATGTCTGAAGTGGCAATACATGCTATGATATATGAAATTTTCATAAGGAATTTTGCAAGTCACCATGCATTGCATGCCAATTTAAAATCACTATTATAACTTGTGAGTTGTGACAAGTCATTTTTACTTTTTTTTACCAATATTGCAATCAAACGCTTTCTCACAAAGGCATTCAATTTGTTTTTGTCTTTTTCCATGCAAAGATAAACATTTTTCATTTCAGTTTGACATGACGAAATTTGGAGGTGTTTTGTTTGTTTTTGCTTTGGTCGTGTTCTTTGTGCTCATTTTTTCGCCTGCGTTTCTGCTGGTAACAACGGTAAGAAGGTTTTTGATACCTGTAAATTTTCGAGATCCATATAGAAATAGAAAGTGGTCGATTTAATCGATTCACGGGCGCCAACGAGAAGATATTGTTTTGTTGTTTGGTGCTATGCAGTGTTTACTATAGAGGCCCTATAGAGTACGATAGAATATAGTTTATTATTGCATATGGTGTATTGTGTTATTTTTAGGCGGGCAAAATTGCCATTGGTGGAGTCTTGGCTTTGCTGTTTACTGCTGTAAGTCGTCCTGGATAATGATCAATAGGAACCGGGATACACCGGAATATTTTCCTATTATCATTTATTTATTATATTTTGTGCCTTCTTTCTCCCTCATTATATTCAAAGCAACTATAGTACACAGGTCAAAACAAGGGAGAAAATCCATGTTAGGAATTGGAGAAACGTCTTCGTTTGCATAGATTAGCTAATGATTAACTCACACTTAAAACATTCAGGGTAAATCAAGTAATCGTTAGTTATTTGCATAACGTTACAAACAGCCAGCTCAACGTCGAATGTTAATGGTTTGGATTTTAAAATTTCTTATTTAACGCACCTTAAAAAGGGAAATTATTGTATAAAAAGTTGGGGGGGGGGGCAATTACATTTTCGTCCCATCCTACTCCAAAAGGGGGGGGTCCCTAGTGGGGTGTTATTTAGCAACTTGCTGATTGGCTAAGACAAAATTTTGGTATTTCAATGAAAAACGTCAGCAATTTAACTGTCATTTTGCAATCTATTTTTTTAATAAGTAAATTAGCTTGTAAGTCTATAACAGCATGCAACGTAATGCGGCAGGTAAACGCAAATAGTTACTTAGAAGGTTAGGTCTGGCTAGGTAAGGAAATATTTCGCTTCGTTTGAAATGGCGAGGGGTTTCAGCATGCATGTATATTTCTAGTAAAATATAGCCAGTTACTGTTATCGTACGTTAGAGATTCGTCACGTGTGCTCGATGCGATATACTCCCAAGAACTAATGTAAAGGAGAATCGTTGGCTTTTGTTGCAGTTTTTAAATTCTACTGTATTCATTAGCATTATATAGCGGATTCTATATTTAATAATAGAATTGCCACTCGATTCAAAATCATGCATAGAGAACATATATAGACTTGCTCGAAATGGATGGAAGGCTGGAAGGAAGCCTGTCATTTTCCCTTACGAAGTGATTTTATTTAAGGGTTTCCAATTTTTTTTCTTGTAGTTTATGGTATACGATGTACAACTGATCATGGGAGGTCGTAAGTATGAACTAAGTGAAGAAGAATACGTGTTTGGAGCATTGATCCTGTATGTTGACATTGTGAACATCCTGCTACTCTTGCTCTATCTCTTTGGTGGAAGCAGCAATTAATAGCAAAAGGCAAATTGCAAATTCTACACCCCGTACATAAGTAACTATAACATTTACTGTATAATTTTATGTGATCTGTATACATTAGTTGTATGTAGGCGTCAGTCTGAGCAAACGTAATTTTACTTGGTCGAAATTTATGTTTTCAAAATGCAAGGAACGGTGAAGCGGGTCTATCTCCAAATTGTGGTGAACGATTAATTGAATTAGTTGTGATAAAAACACGTAAAAATATACTAAGGTCTTTGTGAAAAATAAAAAGGAAACATGTCCCACTCGATGTTGCCGTTGGCACCTCGATGTCGGTATCCTCGAACATGCTAATAAAGCTATTTAACAAAATAATTGAAGATTGGGGAGAACAATGCATCACATGCACTTGTTTATCTCCTGCTAAAAGTGCGACACGTTTCCATAAGAGTGAGACTTGTTATTTGTAATTTTTTTCATTCTGTTTTCTGTGTCGGGTACATCCAAACAGGTGATCGATGGGGTAAACATTTTGCTTTCGCTAAAGGCAAAACCAAAGCCAGTACTGACAGTATATATAGTTCGATATGTTAAATGTATATCTTATAACTAAACCAGGAGCTTATAATTTAGGAAACTTCATGTAATGTTGTATATGTCCACTATAATTACTCCAATTCTGGACAAAACAAATATATATATCTATATATAATTATAAAATCTTGTAATCATGCAAACGTTTCCAACTGCAGCGGGGAAACTTTTGCGGCTCTGCATGACGGACTTCATCCTCGAGCTCCCCTCAAAAAGCATGCAATAAGTATATGAAGGCTGGATTATTACACATGCATAAAAATACTATACTGTTATGCGATAGGAAGAAATCAATCACAGCGATCATTATATATTTAGTCATTGATTTCTATACAAACATCCTGTCATATAATATTTGGACGTTGTTCTTGTGACTTTTGATCTTTAATTTTAAAAGCATGGAATTGAAGATAGGAAGCCCACATTATTGCATACATATAGAAAGAAAAACAATCATATAACGGCGATCACTGTTTAAACACTTCAACGTTAATGCTGTCACAAATTGTGGTAAAGCGCTGAATTATTTGAAAGAGTAGAAATCAATTCCAACTATATTGTAATCTATGTATAATAGAACGAGGAATCGAACTATTTAGGCTTAAAACGTAAGCCGAGTTTCGTCATGCTGAATGATGGATGAAAACAACAATTTTACCATGGTCGGGTTGGCTATTTATTTCATCCGTTTATGTGGCGTTATTTTCCATGTACTACTTTTGATGGCATTCTACAAAGATCCTCTCAAATGTTTTAGAAACTCCGCCACCTATCTCGTCGCCAATCTGGCAGTTTCCGATCTCACAGTTTTTTTTTATGCAGTTTTGGTATACATACTGTGTTTGCCAAATTATCGAAAAACATGTTTTGCACTCTACCTGAAACGAAACTGAGTCGATTGACATTTTATATGGATATGATAAAACACGCCATGCAATAGCTCGCAACAAGGGCCAGGCAAGGTTTAACTACAAGGACGGCGCCGGATCTTTGCACAGTTAGCGGTGTATATGTATGTATTACGCTGTGTATGTGTGTATCTAATATTTTGGTCATCATTGAGTGTAAAACAATAAATTTCTAAAGAAATGAATAAAATTTACATTGCGGGACAAAATCTTCAGGCTGCACGGCTACGCCACTGAATATACTTTAAATTTAATTTGCCAGGTATGTTTTCGCCAAGTAAAATTTGCCAATCTCATCTGGAACATATAAATACTGATGTATATATATATAGCCGTGGTATAAACGCACGACTTCCGAGTGTCGTCCACCAAAAACATCGTCGTGACGCTCAATTCTCGTCATATTTACCCCTCCATAATCTATGTTCTCATAGCCATGCATATATATAGTTGTTACTTGACGGCATTTAATTAAAAATAATTTAATTCAATCTTAATCGTCCTGTCATCGTCATAGGTTGGGTTTTATTACAAAATGTATAACAGGTCTATTACAGAGTTGATCGTATATTTTCTCTGTATATGGTGATGGGCATGCTTTATTTATGCAGACTATTTAGCAAATGCCTTCTTGTTTCTATTTGAAAACTGATGGAAAAGAGCGCTGTAATCTTAATGAACGTGCCGATATATTTCATATGTTTATGCGGCATCGTGTGTCATGTATTACTTCTGATAGCATTCTTCAAAGATCCTCTCAAATGCTTCAGGAATTCGGCAACCTTTCTCGTCGCTAATCTCGCAGTTTCCGATCTCACAGTATCGCTATGTAGTCCGTACACAATGGGGACCGTTAGCCTACACTGGAGTGCGAATATTATTTGGCAAATGGCGGCATGTGTGTCGATTACTACAATCTTTTCAATTGCTGCAGATCGATTTCTCATGGTCGCTTACCCATTTTTCCATCGTTCTTTGACGAGGGGAAGGAAAATTATCACTTTGATTACGTCTATTTGGATTTCATCGTTATTTGTGCCAGTCAACAGTTTCTTGATATCTTCTTCAAAACCAGATATTTTCTGTGTGAATTCAATCAATGTTTACGTTGGGATTAGCCTAATGTTTGGAACAGGACTTCTATACACAGCAACCTCACTGTCCTTGCGAAAACAAGCCCAAAAGCTAGCCAATGCCAGCGGGGAATCTGGATCAAACCGTACTCAAGAAATTCGTAGGTTAAAGGAGAAGCGATTTCTGACGACAATATTTTTGGTAGCGTGTGTTGAAGTGATCGGTATTCTTCCGTCCTTGGTCTTATACGAAGTTGTTAAAGCAGACGGGATATATTACATCCAGCGTTCACTACCCATAATTATCATATGGCATGCCGCATTCATGTTATTCTATTTTACTTTTGCCATAAATCCTTTGATATACTTTCTGCGTTTGCCAAATTACCGTAAGACATTTTTTGCAGTCTACATGAAACGCAAGTAGTGTACATGCGTGCACTTTGCGGGTACGTAGGACAAATCTCGCCAATTTAGGGCCTTTGGACTGGTTTTGAACTATATTGGTGTAGAGCTTTGCATATTCAAATCCTGTAGAACTAAACCATGTATTTTTGCTATATTTACTATTATAGCCTAGGTATCAATTTTTAAAAGTGAAGGAAATCCGTCACTTATTTTACTTTCGAGTGACGTAAAGGTCGTGGGTTGGAGAAAATCGCGCGTTCTTTAGAACTTTTATAGCTCTTGTATAGACCATTTTGCTTTCCATGCTTTGTATCATGAGTAAAAAAGCCACGAATTGAAAGTACTGAAGCAATTCAATACTCCAGGAGCGACCGGATGGGCACAGTAGATGCACTAGAAGGAAAAATTAACAATGCCAATAGCATGATCACCAGCTCAGCGCACGTAGTCTGACTGAACGATGCCTAAGAGGTCAACTTGCTTATGGTTGTCTTTTTTTAAACGCCTTGTTAACAAATAAAATCCGAATCCACAGGGGAAGATTGTCATCTTCGAGTAATATATAATAATTTTAATGCTCGCATCTGTAATATAAGGGAAATTGTTGTTATATGCACCCAAGGGTTTCGCACGTGATGGACACATGGAAATGACAACACTTTGCACTTTGCACTATGCACAATGAACAATGAACAATGCACAATAACGCACTATAGTTTAGAGTATAAAATATCACGGGTTGCACTGGTTAAAAGAGAAGGTTAAGAGAGAAGGTTGATGACTTGGTCTGGGGCACGACAACAAAATAAATATATAAGAAAAGAGAAGGAAGTTGTATTAATATTATCTGAGCTGTCCCTCATACGGCCCCGACGATCCCGCGGATAGAATCATACAAAAAAGGGGTTGTTTTAACATTGGTGGAGGATGCGGGCGCCGCTGATGATGATATAGCCAGAACATAAAAGACAAGCAGAATATAAGAGACAACAGCTATAAAGACAACAGCTATAAAGACAACAGCTATAAAGACAACAGCTATAAAGACAACAGCTATAAGAGAAAAAAAAAACAGGTGCGACTTTGTTATACTCAAATTACAATAGCACGGAAAAGACAAAGAACCACATGTCGTGTCAATTTTCCTTTACTATATTATACATCAATTTTATTTGCGTATAAATGTCCGTTAATTGTTTATAGTGTGTTTTATGTTTACTACCTGTTGTGCTCGTCGTAATAAGTACTTAGTAATTTGCACTTTCGGCCACAATCACAAAAAATTTCATTGTGTCTTTTACCGGTCCTGTTACACGTAGTCGCGGTCGCGCTACAGACAACATACAGTCTGATTGTCCATCAAAAGCATTTGCACGCGGTCTGAATATGAGTTTGACGGAACATCCTGAGATTGCGAATAGTTTGTCTGAACTGTTAAAAGTGATTGAAAAGTCGGTACGGACAACTGAACAAAACAACGCTATCCTAGATGAAACACATCGTCTAGGCAAACAAAATCATGACGACTTGCTTCAGTTACATGAAAAACAACAGGCTCAACTAGCCACACTAAGTGCACAGAATACATTACACGTTGGCACTGCACTACAGCCAACACCTTTTCAGGGCAAATCCACTGATGACTTTGTAGCGTTTTTAAATCACTTTGAAAGATATGCAAATTTTTGTGGGTGGGATGACAATCACCGTCTACGCGCTCTACCCCTTTATTTTCAGGGTAATGCTAGTTCTTGGTATTCTAGTATTGATAAAAATGAAATTAGATCGTATAAAAACTTAACTGATGCTCTTAAGACGCAGTTCAACAATCCAGCTGCGATCTGGCTTTTGCGTCAGCAATTGTCATCAAGAAAGCAGGGATCAACAGAGCCGCTAACGAGCTATGCCGCGGATATCCGGCGATTGTATAAGCGCTTGGGTTTAAATGATAGCGATGGCATGCATTATTTTATCCAAGGTCTTCGCGACGAATTAAAAGCTCATGTTATACTTGGGCAACCCAAATCTCTAGCTGAGGCGGAAAATTTAGCAACCTTGAAGGAAGCTGTCTCAATTAGCACACCTAACACAGGGCAGCAAAAGCTCGAAAACCAACTGCAATCAATGGTAAAAAGTTTAGAGACGCTTGCAAATGCGCAGCAGGAGCAAGCACAACAGGTAGCCGCTTATAGTGTGCCTACTGGCCCAAAATTTTCTGGTTACCCACGGAACAGCAGTTATCAAAACGAATGGCGCAAACAAGCACCTGGCTCAAGGCACGACCCAGACCATATTGCTCAATTAGTTCGGGACGAAGTACGGCGCCAAACACGTTTTATGACACACATGCATAGACAAGCAAATTCGGGTGTACCTTCAACACGTAATCGTCGTACAACAGATGGTTTACCCATATGCAACAAATGCGATAAAATTGGCCACATAGCTCGCAACTGTCACCTCGCAACATCCAACGCCTCCTAGTCATCCGCATCAAAACTCAAGTCTCAGTAGAAATGCGCGCCCATTTTTTCCGCAACAGGCCCCTAGAGGTAACAATCCATTTCAACAGAACTCGGGAAACTAATTAACGCTTCCTTATTACGGGACGATAAGGAAGCATATTTTGTAAATAAACTTAGTGAATCAAAATGTTCCAAAATCCAAACTGTTAATAAAGATAATGTTAATATTAAGAATACGCATGTTGTTCCAGTTGATACCTTAATTGAAATAGATAGTGATGAAGAGATTTTGGAGGAACCTGTTCGTGAAGAAAGCTCAGAATTTGTTAAAATACATCCTGATTTATCAGATATTGATTTTAGTTTTAGCGCAGACAAAAGTAGCGATGTATTGTACCAAGATATTGTTTCCGTAAACCGCATGAATGAACATTGTGAAACGCATAAAACAAATGAACAATTAATCGACGAAGAAAGCGCGAATAGTTGTGAGGTGACCGCGTCACCAGATGTTTATGTTCCAGTTCCACAAAACCTTGATATTGGTTTTCAGAAATGTAATAAATTGCACGATGTAGCAAAAGTACCAGTCTGTGATAATCTT